TGGCATTCGTAGAAGCATTCTTGCAATGCTATGCGCGATACAACATGGTCTGCTACACCGCAGTGCGATGCATACTCACAAATTACCAATAACAGAAGTAGACGACGCCTTGCTGACGTGCCTCAAAGCTCAAAGCAAATGCGTACGTTACTGTGGCATTTGTGTAGTCGGGTACAACTTGTACAAATCTGCAAGCAACTCTTGAACATTTCGTACAACTTTGTTGCAAAGGTCAAAATCGTACATCACATCGCATGTCACACGGCAGAAGTTGAGCCAAGCAGTGGCAAGCTCTACTTCTGCGATGGGCCAGTTGTGACGGCTGAGTGAGCTGTGCATCGGTGCGTTTAGAGAATTTCCTAATTTCGCGGATGTCGCACTGCGCATTGCATCGTAAATATGCTTCTGTGAATCCCGCATAACAGCGAGTAACGTTGCTGGTGCTAAGATGCGAGAGATTCATATGTCCCCCCCCCCTCCCCACGCACACACATCACCTTTATAGGGGAATACCCTCCACAGACTTGCTGAAAATTCTACTTGCAGCACAATGGCCTCGGGAGGTTCAGTACAAAGGGAGGCTTTTCTGAAGGACCACAAGTTCATCAATACATGCACCAAACCGTCTTCCGATTATTCCGATGCGGCAATACGCACTATTTCTCTTTATTGTGGTCCCAGTGACATTGCCAAAATGATACGGCGTTTGTGCTTTTATAACACGATGTAAATATTATCGCTGATGCACAGCAGTTCTCAACATAGACAGAAGGCCCAATAGACACAGTACATGCAACACAACCCTAAAACAATGGTATTGAAACTCACCACCAAGAATCTCAGGCAGTGCATTCAAGCATGCTCCGCCTTCATCGAAGACGAGCTTGGTCGCTGCAATCACTGCATGCTCAACGTCTGGTTGGTCAGCCACAGCGACAGACAGATCATCCTGGTCCAAGGATGGAAATCTCCCGGAGAACTCTTCAACCAAGCGCTTCTGGTCGTCAGGATTAATACCTGAACAAGAAAGCAAAGAGTTTCGGACCTTTTGCTCCAGAGATAAATTGAAGCATATCAAGGAAGCTGTTTCGTTCTGCCAAAAGAGTCTCCTAGAAAACTTGTGTGCGGACAAACATTATGGACCGAAACATGCCTGCACCAACCACTTTCCCAGACGACAGCCAGTCGTCTGTTGACTAGTGATGACCTCCCTATCATCATGGAACTAAGGCTTAGGAATTAACTGACTTCCTTATCATCATGGGACTAACGCTTTAATAGGAGTTAACTCGCTGTATATCTGGGATTATGCTTAGGAGTAGACTCGCTGCTATCGGTGCATTCCTCGTAATTTCTTACTGCACCAATCCGTCTTACCTTCGTCACTGCATGCCGTGGGACGCAAATTGAAGACAACTGCTCCGTCCACAGTTGACACTTCGAGAATGTGCAGACCAGCGAGCAGGCTAGATTGACCCTTACAGAACTCCCAAAGCCTTGCATGAGCCTTGGCAGACATCTGTACAAACACTGCTGTGCCTCCGCTCTCGCTGTGTACACCGTCGGCATGGACACTCTCATCACCAAGAAGATTGCGGAGATTACGTACGACTCTTTCAATGAAACTCGGGACCGTGTGATTATATTCACAGTCGATGATGAACTTCACTATAGATGAGCTCTCGTCTGTTTCAGAATAATAACAGTGTATATGCATGCACAGTGACACATGCACGTTCACGCATGTACACATCCATCAAGTCAGAGACCGAATAAAGAAGAAAATGGGGAAGTTCGACTTAAAGGGGTGATTTCTTTTTTATGCAAGTACTAACGAATGAAGGAAGGGCGCATCCCCTCATCACTGGTTTGTACTGTTAACCATATGGAGGATATTATTCACTCCTACTCTAGCACTAAAATCAAAACTTCGTTAAGAACAAGATGAAGCTTTTGTACATGGACCATCGATCTGCAGGACAGACAGGACACATACTGAATACTATCTGAAGTGTACGAAGAGTTGACAACACACATTAATTGATGTATGCTCCTATGTATAAGTTAACCTATGCCTGTTTGCTGTTCACATCTGATCACTTGGAAGCACGTTTTTATTCACCGCATAAAATGATGATGCAAAGAAAGAAAAGGACACCGGAAATATGATGCTGGGTGTGAGAGTGGGAGTGTGAGATCACTTGGTCACGTGGCCATACAAAATAAGCTTGCTTCAGGTTGGCACCCCCCCCCCCCCCAAAAACAGACTCGCTCGGCCGGGGAAAAGACCTTTTTGGGCAAAATTTTGGTTGCTATGATCAATGATCCTGATGCTTACATCATGATATGTGACGGGCAAAAGCATGAACATACATTCATGTACTTCTGTGATGCACATGTATAATAAATCACATGGTATGGATCAATGTCACAGTTCACTGACTGTACTCATACAGGCTGGGTACTCCTTACAACCTGGATGTCTAGTACTGGATGTCTAGTACTGGATGTCTAGTACTGGAAGTCCACCTGTACTGGATGCCTAGTACTGGATGTCTAGTACTGGATGTCTAGTACTGGAAGTCCACCTGTACTGGATGCCTAGTACTGGATGTCTAGTACTGGATGTCTAGTACTGGATGTCTAGTACTGGATGTCTAGTACTGGATGTCTAGTACTGGATGTCTAGTACTGGATGTCTAGTACTGGATGTCTAGTACTGGATGTCTAGTACTGGATGTCTAGTACTGGATGTCTAGTACTGGATGTCTAGTACTGGATGTCTAGTACTTGATGTCTAGTACTGGGTGTCTAGTACTGGATGTCTAGTACTGGATGTCTAGTACTGGATGTCTAGTACTGGATGTCTAGTACTGGATGTCTAGTACTGGATGTCTAGTACTGGATGTCTAGTACTGGATGTCTAGTACTGGATGTCTAGTACTGGATGTAGGCATGCATGCATGGTGTAAATGAGCCGTTTTGGAAGCTACTTACAGGCTCCTCGGGCACCTATTGTACGCTTATGCAGACCAAAATAAGTTTCAGACTTAGGAGAATATGACCCGGTCGGCGACCGTAAACAAGGTTTTTGTTTTGGCCGAATATGGAAAATGCCCACACCCTCCCACACTCACATCCACACGCAACCACCCTTACACCCACACGCAACCACACTCACATCTACACGCAACCACCCTTACACCCACCATTACACCATTACACACTCACCCACTCACTCACCCACCCACTCACCCACCCTTATCAAACAATCACGCAATCATGCTAGCATACGAATGCTGACCTGTAAACTTCAGTCGTTTGCTGCCACGAATGGCCAGTATGTTCACAGGCACGCTCACTAGCACCTCCAGATAGCCAGTGGTCTCTGTGACGACAGTGTTCTCGTCGATGAAGCCAGTATCCTTCAAATACTGCTTGGTCTCTGAAATGCTACGGTTGTCCCTTGCAGATTCAGTGCCGATGCTGATGAAACAAGGGTGCTTACTTAACTCTCTATGTATATCAGCTGGCGATATGTCTGCGACAGACGAGAAAGAGGCGAAATTGGCAGACACACCGAACACAGTGAAAGCCAGTTCAGATCAGTTTTACAAGACAATTGAGAGGAGGAAGTAGAGGTTTGAGCGAACCCATGCCAAGACAAGCCACCAGCGGCACCGAGAATACATTCACGCCCATCCTTAAGCTTCTCTTCGTCAGTGATTGCAGTTTGGTCCATGACGATTGCCATACAACAAGAACACGTGTGGTGTTTTTCAGCCTGGTAGGCCTCTGAAAGATATGCTGGTGTTGTCTTCATTCACCAGTCATGAGTGTCCCCTCCCCCCCCCCCCCCCCACCATGCCTCCCCCCCCCCCACACACCACCACCTCTCCCCCCCCCCCACAACTCCCGAGAGGTGTACAGAAAGGAGAAGAGAAGGTGGAGGCAAAGGGGAATGTCGTGAAAGTGATGTTGGTACGAGTGACGGCCAGTTTATGTAGCCGGATGTTATCTACTCAATGCTCTGCTTGTTTCATGGAGAGATGTATGTGGGAGAGACAGCGATGTATCAGGGACTGCTTTGAACAGCATTACAGAGAAGACAGAGTATGCGGCACCCACAAAGCCCTGGGGAGAGCACCATGCATTTCACCAGCTGGCACATCATCCAGTGGGGTGATGGGAATGGTGTTGGTGAAATAATACCAATCTGCAAACTAATTATCATGCTGATGCACTAGAGACAGGTAAGAACTATTGCTTACCAACTTGGCCGTCCGCCCGTGTCACCTGACCCTGGTACTGCCATTCCTGCGCCTCACGGTCATCAGTGATGCTAGCGCTGGACGCCAAGCGGTCGATTTCAGTCAATACTGCTCGCCGTTGTTCTGAGCAAGACCAAAGCAGAACCGGGACGATAAAAACTGAAATTAATTTGAAATTTCTAGCGGACAGCATAATTATTACATTGGGTAGAAGTCACCTTGCCCTCAAGTTCATATGCGAGTCATGGCTTAGTGCACACGATGTACTTGCAATGTGCAAGATCAATGAGAGAGTAAAACCTACACTAACGTATGTCTCCAACTGTGGGAAAATGCAATCACTAGGACAATGCACATACTGCTATGTGTAGATTGAATGCATATTTTGTCCTCTTTTTCCATGATAACATTGGCTTCAGGTCCGGGTTCAAACACTACACCAGTAGATAAAAGAGAGGGATAAGCTGCATGTTATTTTTGACGTAACGCGTTATTTGGCCCACGCGTTGGAAAACAACGTGAGAGACCTGCAGCTCACGTCGAGGACCCGTTTGACGTAGAATTGCACATCACGTCAAAATTTAACGTGCAGTTAGCCTCTCTCCTAGCCCTGTGCCTACCTTCTCCCATGTTCCGCATGCTCAGCAAGTCTACGTTCACAGGCGAGGTTGGCTGTGGTACGTGGATGGGTTTCTTTCTCTTGTCGAGGACGGTCTGTGACACGCGCATTCGTGCCACATCCTCGGCAGTGTGGACCACCCGTTGACGTTCCGGTGCTGAGAACTCTTTCATCAGGTCTACTACTTTATTGCAGTCTTTTTGGCATTCCGGAGAAACTGGAGACCACACACGCATGCGCCACCAAACATACCGGTAGAAGGACAACAAATTCAGTTGTAAACATGCTTGGCTAAGGCCTGCAGCTTCTTCAGCCAGAGTGTACAACACCACAAGACACGGCTACGCAGTACAGCCGCTGGTGTTTGGATATCCTGGAAAAGGCCAGCTCTCCATGGGTCCTTGGAATCCAAAACCTTCTGACATGTGGCCATCTTGTGTCCCACTCGGAGCCCATGCCTATTGTTCCCCATCCCAACGTATCCCAACCCAATGCGTCCCAACACCTTCCTCTGCCCAACTTCCCCTGCCCAACTTCTGGTAGGTTCCACATTTCACAATAGAGTCAGCTGAAGCCAGGGGAGTTTAGTGGCTTGCCCAAGTTGGCATTGAGGCTGGAACACCAGGGTCCTCACTTCTTCTTTTCCAAACATGAACGTTTCTCAGATTGTCACCCAAGTACTAATGGTATCCAACAGTACTTGCTGTACATGTGATACAATTATGTGAGTGTCTCTCAGTCACCTGACTGATACAATTTCTACTTACCTGCAACAAAGGTATCCACTGACTTCATGTCATCTAGGAACTTTGAAAAGTTTTCTTTAGGTTCGGTGCTACGCACAATACTACAGAAAGTGTGGAAAGTCTCAGCTGTACCCCTGCTCAGCATATCGAGGAGAAGCTCATTGTGTTTGGCAGAATCGTCTACTGCCATCAATTCCTTCTTCTGCGTATCGGAGATCAAACCTTTTCCCCGGCATTCCATGCGGATTGTGCTGCAGCTGAGCGTTGCTTGGAGGCGTGGGATCCACTCGCGAAACACTTGACTTGACCATGGCCCTGTGTTGCCCGCTTGGCTCTGCAAAGGCAACATACATATACACAGCGACACGAGCATGAAATTAAGAACCGACCGGCACACGGGCAGTTCAATTCCGCCTCCGTAGGCAAATAGCCAGCACCCTTCCGCTGCAGAAGAAAACTAGCAGCAAATAGCCGGTAGAAACCTGCATGTGTGATTTACGGCAAGCAGTTTGTTAATGCAGAACATCTACACTACACTTTCAGACGTGTAAAACTCTTTTCTCACTGGTGGGATTTGTGTCAATACGCAGTGAAAGTCCAGTATAAACTAAAAAATACCCTTGAAAAAGTGTGGCACGCTGCCTAAAGAGTACTTCGTGCGCAGGGTGCAGAGCTTCTGCGTATGGCAGAGAGAGGATCCAAGTCGAAAAATATTTTGACTCAAAGTTTCATTGTGTGTTTCGTTTATTTTTTTGTACATGGACATACATACGCTCTGGCTTGCTTTCGCAATAAAAAGGCCAGGTTCGCCCCTTGGAAATTGCTCTGACGATGGGTGACTGGCCCGAAACGTCACTAATTTTTCCAACATCACAACAAAGAATTTTTAATGCAGCGCAGGCACAGATTGTGAAAAGTAATTGAATAGAGCGGTTGTCAGTTGACAAACCCCCTATTCTTCAAAAATACAGTTGCGTGATGTCTACAACTTTCTTAGTCAAAGTTTCATGCCGAAGCAATCATCAGACAAGTTGACAAACAAGTCGTCTGATGATTGCTACTGCATGACACTTTGAGTCACAAAATTTTCCACTAGGATCCTCTCTCTTCCCTATTAAAAAAATGTAAATTATCGTGTCCGTCCCCGAAGGGAAATCACGACAGCCGCTAACACCCAGTAAACCCTTTTTAAATTTTTCTCATAGGAACTGTGTGTCGCTCCCTAGGTGGTAGCTGGTTTTTCCCCTGCTGACTTGAATTCTGGATGGCAGTCATGAGTCAGTCAAGTGAGAATTTAAGTCGGCAGGAAAAACGCGAGCTCCCACATAGGGAGCAGCACACTATCAGTCCCCAAGTATTGCGGGAGTAACTTCAACCTCTTCTTCACAGGAAGAGATATTTCGTACGAAAGTTATCGGATATGAAGTAATAGTTTTCAGCACCTTGCTTTATAGTATAAAGGGAAAATACGGCTGCCAACATCGAAATCTCACTTCTTGTTCTCTGCTGACTGCCGAGTTGAATGGGGTTTGTTCGAGGATGCTCCCTGCGTCCTATATCCCCTTCGTACGAGGAAGCTCCCTTCTTCCTACATCCCAATCAAATCTGCGCACCTCTGCCAAAGCGCAGCGAGCTCCCCTTACTAGAAAGGGGTTTGTGCAAAACATTTACTGGAAGCGCTGTTTTGCCATGGACGACAATCACGGACAAAACGACATGCTAACAAGCTGTAGTCTTCGGGGTGCATAATCGAATGATGATGATCCGAGAAGGCTGCAACACGTCACACAACTTTAACTACCAATGGTAGGGAGTTCAATTGAAAAACAAAATAGTCACAGAAGTAAATGCAAGTACGTATGTGGGCCATGTGGTTTCCGTCCAGCACTGCACTATCTGGTGCGTACATGGTGATACAGGATGTGTGCACGCACGCCGCGCGCGCCTACTTGTAAAAGTCACACGTTTTCACCGTCACTGCTTCTACAGTGTGCGCGCAGTTCACTCGATATTTGTTGTCAACCACCAGGAAATCGCCGTAGGCTGGTTTCTGTGATCATTTTCCTTCTATCGTGATAAAGCGCGAGCCTAAATGTTCTAGAATCCTCTTGTTTTAGACTAATTCGAGGCCGTTGAAAACGAAAATCGGGTGTTCCTCGCTAGGCCGAGTACGCATCTGGTCGAAATTAGTACTTCGAAGTGCCTCCGCGCTTCGCGCGGAGGCATTATTGTTGGAAGCAAGGCATGTGTGGCACCATTGGAAAGGTAGTGACCTCAGCTATCCAAAAAATAGCATCGACAATGCCGAAAAGGCCGCGGAAGAAGATACTTGGGCCTCGAATTGCATCCCGAACTGCTGCCACGAGGCGCCCATTCACTTTGTACAGGCGAGCTGTGACTGCATTTTTCGCTTTTCGGCGACCGGACCTGAACTCCCTACCATTGGACCACAACCTCATGTCACTCTTCAACATCAGACTGGTGATATTCACCACTTACGAATGCACCAGCGAGTAATTCAACTGCATTATCATCATGAAGAAATGCCTCGACCTCTTCAAAAGGGCAAAACACACTCCTACGTCAGTCATCTGGACCCCGTAGTTACGGGCACTTCGGTCTACCGGACACCCTTTGGGTGAGTTTCAGTGGAGACACTTCTTCTACCCTTTTGTCACCTTTGGTGGATTTATTGACACCACAATTATGCATCTATATCTATGGTTTCTCCCCATCAAAATGTTTGTGATTTGGAGTTACGGACAGTTCAACATTACGGGTAGTGTCCGGTCCCGGACCGCCCGGACAAACGAGGTACAAATGTATAAGGCTGATGCAACTGCCGTCACTATTGTAGCAGGGGTCACAGCAATGACTTGCTGACTTGCTGACCGCACGTGCGCCCAGACAAGTGTTAGGTAGGTCATCATCTCCCAAACATTCCCCATACATCCTTTGCCTAGGTATCCCGCACCCCGTATTTCTGTGACACCCTTCGTTACTCTGGCCTGGGTAGCTGCTCGCGCGCCCATATTTGCCATAGCTACCCAGGCAGGCACAGTGGGTGCATTTCATTACACACTTGAATCGATCCATGAATGGAATCTCGCCGTTCGATTTCATGTCATGAGCCCTGGAAGGGTGACAGTAAGGGACCGCCCAGGCTCGAAGCCCACAGGAGGCAGTGATACGATGTACCGTGCCGTCTCTCTATTTACTACTAGTCCCTTGATCACATGATACAGCATGGACTGTACACTCATACCTCATTTATCCGGGCACTGAAGTTCAGTCTACGGGCCCCCTTTCAGGTGAGCTAAACTACTCCTTTGCTACTTTTATTGGAAATAGTAAGATCACATTTCATATCTTTATGGCCTCTCCCAATCAAAACGTTGGTGATTCGGTGCTATGGGCAGTGCCCAATCCCGATCGCCCTCTAAAATACACAAGGAGTGTGGTCTGATATAGGCTCCACTCTCTACAGACTTCATTTTCGCATTACAATAATTATAAGCTCTAGCATAACGCACTGTGACTCCTGTCATTTATAATTATGTCTCTTACCAGAGAGTTTGGCTGGGGAGGCGTTGCTGAATCTCCTGTTGCCTTCTTGGTAACCGGCTCGCGTCCAGTCAGAGATCGAGCAATGGGCTTGGCAGTTAAGCTCTCTGTTGGCAGCACTGACCGCTGGACTTGCTGCACAGCATGTCCGCCTGGGTGTTTGCCACCAGCTATTGCTTGGCTCCTGGCCAAGGTAGCTGCCCTGGCACCGGCTATGGACATTTGGCGATGTTTTGGCTTTGGGTCTTGATTTAGGGCCGGTCTGACTGTTTCGTACCTATTCGATTCAAAACTAGATGCTAGTGTGGAGACACTAGCAGACCTGGACGGAGCAGCTTGTCCAGGTTTCGGAGAGGGCTTGGGATCAGCTGGGGCAGATGTCGCCGCCTCAGTGCCATCTGGTTGGTTACCGCCAGCCGCTAGTCGTGCGTGGTCACAGAGCGGTGGTCGTGAAGGAGACACAGGATCAGAAGTCACTACCGGCTGCACTCTGTGACCTGTAGTGGGATCCTTAGTTTCCACTGTTCTTGCTGTGTTGTGGGGAGTGACGGGCTTTGGGCGAGTGGGAGGCCGGGGGGCTCGACTGGTTTTCAAAGGTAGACTTTCAGCCGATTTCCCTTCCTGACCGGCTGAATTCAAGGCCGCTATCATTGCAGAGACGCCGGTGGGATTGGCGGGAGATGCGTGAGTGGCCTGGGGTTTAACAACAGACTTTGGTTTGGGTGCTATGGCTGGCGGAGACCGAGTTGCTTGGCTAGGTGTTGGTGGTGGGTTCCCGGTGAACCGGGCTGGTTGACGTCGAGTTACTTTATTTGCTGCACCTTCATTGCCTGTGTTAGAGAGGACATAGAGAACAGGAAATAGCCGAATCATTTCACAGCCTCGCAAAATGCCTCCTTGCATGCACACACACCCACACACACACCCACACCCACACCCACACCCACACACACACACACACACACACACACACACACACACACACACACACCGTGACAAGCACCTTTGCAAAACTTCAACGCAGGTTGGTGCCATCAATATGCACTGTACAGATATGTAGTAAAGCAACTCAGGGACATGCAGTATTGTCTGTACATGTACAGGCAGGTGTGTAGCTCCTCTATAGTCAGTATAGTCCGGTCAGTACACCAGAAAATGGTCGTCATAGCTACTACATAGTCTTAACAGGCAAAATGGAGGCTATGAGGTTGCCGGTGGCACATGGTCACCACACCACAGATGGCCGAGCTACGCCCCGTATATACAATTCTGTGCGTGTCTCTCAGTCACCTGACTGATAAAGTTTCTACTTACCTCCAACAAAGGTATCCACTGACTGCATGTCATCTAGGAACTTTGAAAAGTTTGCTTTAGGTTCGGTGCTACGCACAATAGTACAGAAAGTGTGGAAAGTCTCAGCTGTACCCCTGCTCAGCATATCTAGCAGTCGGTCATTGTGTTTGGCAGAATTCTTTATCGCCATCAATTCCTTCTTCTGCGCATCGGAGATCAACCGCTTGGCACAGCATTCGACACGAATTGCATCGCAGCTGAGTGCTGCTTGGAGGTGTGGGATCCACTTGCGGAACATCTGGCTTGACCATGGCCATGAGTTGACCGCGTAGTTCTGCAATAACAACATACAGAGTGCATACACTAGACCTTGGCGGATAATGCTCGAAAAAATGGGTAGATTCTGCCTTGAAAAGCAGTGAAATTGGCAGAATAATACAAAACTTATGGCAGGCACTTCACCTTGCCTTGAATTCTGCTCCATTTCTTTATCCACATACCAAACATGCATGAAAGCATCCCGATAAAGTACCAAATTCTGAAGACAAAAATTCTGCCTGCAGTATCTGCCAAGGGCTAGCATACCATGAGCTGAGAATCACAGAAGCTGCCAGAAAGTTATGACCAGGGAGTCGTAAAATACCGGTATTTAACAACTCCCTGGTTACGACCAGTACTTAGCAGCATACCTCGCGCCATGCATGTTCTATTTTCTTTTCCTGGCACTGAGATCTGTGCTGTGTTGATCAAGTGTTCATCGGGGACGAGACAGCCCTGGCTAGCTGCCGATATACTTGTATGGGCTTATTGCTTGCGTTTGGCCACTGCCATTTCAGGGGCCTGGTTGGCTGAGGTAGGCCACATTGAAGCGTTACTGTTCGCTGAAGATAATCAATAATACCAGATGGCCCTTTACACGTATTGGCACAAGTTTTAACCATACAATGATAGCATGGAGCGGGTACATGTGTGTGTGTGTGTGTGTGTGTGTGTGTGTGTGTATGTGTGTGTGTGTGTGTGTGTGTGTACGTGCATGCGTGTGTATATATTGTATGTGTGTGTTTGTGTGTGTGTGTGGGGGGGGGTGTGTGTTTGCATGTGCGAGTGTACATGCGCATGCAAACATGTGTGTATGTGTGTGTGTGCGTGTGTGTGTGCACGTGCGTGTGATTGCGAGCATGTGTGTATGTGTGTGCACACTGTAAGATGTCTTTGAGACAACATTTTCAGAATTTGGCAAAGCAATGACGTGTGGACAATTCATACCTCTGCAGCTGCAGCCATGACTGCGACAAGAACAAAAGTCACGGACGTCGATCACCATCTGTTGTACATGTACACACAATAAACCACACCAAAATAAACGTGGCACATCATGAGTGATGTAGAAATGGATAACATTCTTCAAGGGGAAGTTAAGGCTAAATTAAAATTTCACCAGTTGTAGTCTTCGGGGTGCTGAGTCGAATGGTCTTGGTTCCGAGGAAGCTGCGACGCTCCCTTCCTGCTTTAATCCCAATCGAACTCGCGCACTTCCACCGAAACTGGGTGACCGCGATTGGCCCATATGTTGTAGTCTTTTGGCCGCTGAGTCGACTGGTTTTGGTCCGAAAAGGCTGCGATGCAGCGTTCGGCCCTTATTCCCAATCGAATATGCTTGAACAAGCGGTCACGTTCTCCTGCGTACACCAGTCACCTGGTCACCGTGCCTGCAGGGTACAACTTACTAGCCTGTTTGACCTGTTTGGGGTGTAGTCCTGTCACTCGAGTTGAACTCGAGTTGAACCTTGGTGCGAAACTTGTTGCCTGCTGGCGCTGTGACCAGGTGACTTGGGCACGCAGGAGCACGTGACCGCTTGTTCAACCATGTTCGATTAGGAATAAAAGAGGAGCGCTGCATCGCAGATTTCTCGGACCAAAACCAGTCGACTCAGCGTCCAAAAGACTACAACACATGGGCCAATCGCGGTCATTCGTGCTTTTTTAAGAACGAAATGGCGCTTTTAGTGAAATTTTGAATACAAATCCCCATCTAGTAGGGCGCAGTCACCCAGTTTCGGTGGAAGTGCACGAGTTCGATTGGGCTTAAAGTAGGAAGGGAGCGTCTCAGCTTCCTCGGACCACGACCATTCGACTCAGCACCCTGAAGACTACAACTGGTGAAATTTTGACTTCAGCCTTTTAAAAAGGGGAAGTCCGGTGAAAAATTTAAATTTCACAGTCCGGGGAGTTCGGGGCGCTGAGTAGATTAGTCTTTGTCCGAGGAGGCTGCGGCCTATGGTTCGTCAGATACGCCCAATCGAACATGTGCGAATTTGAGCGCGCATCACCCAGATCCAGGTGATGACGTCACAGAGTGCAGCCAGGTAGCCACACCATCTAGTTGTGTACAAAATGGCCATATTCGGAGCGCGTTCGATTGGGGAACCGTTTGTCGCAGCTTCTTCGGACCAAGACCACTCGATTCAGTGTTACAAACACTACGTACCCTGTGATTTTCAGCTCGGTAAACCTCGAGGTTATACCATATTTTAGCCGTTTCCGAGTTGGACTTTTTCCGTCGGCATGCACTGGCCTCTACGGCTCTAGCAATGCGCTGCGTGCATGCTAGATGTAGAGTAGTCAACAAACTCATCACACACGGAACTACTCCCGCACTGCCATGCTGGGGTAGCTACAAGACTCAGAAAACTAGTCAACACACGAACTTGCTATGTACTGTACTACACTCGTATCAGTCGTATCGTATCAGTCGTATTGTACAGTCATGTAGTCAGAGAACGTGCGTTTCTCCTTGCCGGTGCCGGTGGATGTGCTTTGAGAAAGAAAATTTTAGTTTTCCGCTTCCGCCTCATTATTTTATGCTACAGCGATGAGTGCACAACCGTGGCAAGTGACAAAACAGCGAACAGCTCCCGGACCTAGAACTTTCAGATCCCGTAGCGGTGCGATCGAAGAGTCGTGCCAGTGATTCAAAGAGCCTGCACTGTTCTCCAATTGAGTACTCCGAAATGTGCCAAGTTATAATTTCGCAACAAAACATCACCATGTGGCAGGCTACTGGAGTCTAGGCGAATCGGTATGGAACAACATTTAGAGCACTCGCATCAGTCTTCTCCATTTTGGCGACTCTGCTCTCCAGCGATCTGATAATTATATCAGCCTCGTCTGCAATAGCTGCTGCTTCTTCATCCGTCGGAAACTCAGTAGCGCTCACTCTTGACGGCCCGAGCGGCCATTTCCTCAGCTGAATACCGAGGTTCTCAGCCCCAGGCCGAACTCATGAAGGTCAGCCATGGCTGCATCCTCACTGTCACAAGGATTTACAGGGGCGTCACACACGGTACGACCACTACGACCATGGTCGTACCACTTTTCGTCCAGGATGGTCCACCCAATTCATCCGAAAAAGCAATAAAAAAATTCAAGGATCTTCGGACTTGTACAAAACATCGCAACTGTTACTTTCATTGCAAGAAGCATACAGACTTGATGCCTAGCACTAGCAGCTAGCTATTGGCCAAGACTCCAGGCGGCTATCCATTTCGATAGGCGGTTGGAGTCACGGGTAGAGACAACCAGACGATGGATTCCTCACGTACGCATCCCCAAGCTCTACCATGTTACAATGGCGATCAGCACATCAAGAGACACTACATGTATGTCACTTGTCAGCTACAACATAATTATTCTTTCCACAACGACACCTACCTAGTACCTCTGGCTCCTGACGATCTACTGCAAGCGGATTCGAAAATGCATTACACCCGCGAACGCAGCGCTTGTCAACGGAAAAGGGAAGCGCTTCATTCTCCGAAGCTGAAAAGTGTTTGGACTGCTGCTCCACGGCGGCAGAATATTCTGCAGCTGTTCACCGACCCGCTCACCCTATATTATAACGATTTACGATCGTTTCGTTCCCCGAGTTTTCTGGTAGCAGCAACAAGAATTGCGTCCGCGACGACAGGACGAAAGTCTCTCGCAAACTAAAGTCCTGTTGCCACGAAGACAGAGAAGATTCCGCAAGGGCTTTCTTCTGCTTCCAGTGTTGTAGCTCTCCGGTCCACTGGCAGATCTTTCAATCCCACCGAACAAAAAAAAAGGATCTTCTTCTCTCTCTAAAAACAACTAAAATTACTTCGCGACTGTCCAGGCCGGCCGTGTACATAGTGCACGCGACGCAGCAGACTTTTGCAGGACACGACATACGTTTTTGCACAGCGGCTGGCGCTAGAACGCGCAGCCGGCTTCTACTTCGGATTTTGCGATTTTTTCGAGGGCAATGGCCCTGAATCATTGAATGGGTTCCTTTTGCCTTGCTTGGCTACCTACGATGTACAGAAAATACAAAAAAATCCATGAGAAGTATGTTTTTGGAGCTGGGGTGGGGTTGTCTAATAAGTTCTAGGGGAACCCTCCCTTGCGGCTGTAGAGTGCTAAAACGTGGCCTGGTAGCCGAAAAATCCTTACACCCCAGGACCCCCGGTCGTACCGCTCAAAGCCACCCTGTGACGCCCTTGATTTACGTCTCCGGGGTCGCTTGCACCACCTTCTATCGGTCGCCAAATCATTCGAAATAGCACTGACACTATTGCTTTCATGCACTCCTTTTGACCTAGCTGCACGCTATGACGTTGCGGAGGGTGTAGCGCGGCCGCATGACGTCATGGCACAGCCCCCGAAACTCAGTTTTTCAAACGGAAATATCTCGAGAACGCTTTGTCGGAGACACGTGGGACCAACACCATTCGACTCAGCGCCCGAAACTCTACTGACCCTGAAATTTAAATTTTTCACCGGACTTCCCCTTTAACTTCCCCTTTCAGAATGGTTTCAGCAGGTGCAGATTCCAAAGAAACCCTAAAACATAAAAAGCGCTTCACACTTTTGTTTCAGTGGAGGCAAGGTTCCAAGAGTGTGCACTGAACATTGACAAGAGTGCATCACCCCCAAGAATAGGCAGCTCCCGTATACAGTTTTGTCCCAACAGAATTTCAAGTTGACCGCATTGTTTTGATGCAATGCTCCTCTTGCCAGAATGATTTACGGCGTTTGTACAGCTTATCAAACCATCAAACATTTTTCGTTGCGCTATTTTGTACTACATGTAGCTAAAGTCCAGGATATGTTTGATAGTCCGCGCACATTGCATCAGAATATGACGCCATCGAATACCCGACCGAATGGCCGTTTTCGTTTGGGGATTTCATGTAGGGTTTCTCGTAGCCACGCGGCGCTTCTTTGGAAATGATTGGTTCCATTGTGAATGTTTTGCCTTTGGAATGTTTCTTCACGCCCCGTGCGTTCATTTCGCCCCAAACCTGGCCATGCAGAGGAGGAAGACGAGGCAGCAGGCGCTAGGCCCGTAAATTACTGCCTGGAAGATATTATTTTGGCCAAAGCTTGCTGTTGGCGTTTTCGATTTCTTGGATACGACAGCTCTTGGCTAAAACTGGACCTTGGACGGTCTTTCTTGGACATCAACATGGGACGTACCACATTAGGCGTGGTGGTCATGGACGTATCGCCATCGCTTTCAGCCGGACTCTTCTGCTGCCTGAAACCAATGGCGAAAGTAAAAACTTCATCGCAGCGGCAGCTACTGCTCTGCTGAAAGTGCGAATACAAATAATTACTTCGCCAATCCTCTTGTGCACTTGCAATTTTCAATGCGACCAAAACGATTCGCTTGTCAGTTCCTTTGTCCAGGCGTACTCCACAACGAGGAAAATAAAATTTGTGAAGGCAAGAGGCAAGATACGAATCTCAACTCGCTTGAGGCAAGCCGCCAAGAGAACGACGACTTTTGTGACGAAATACCTTCGTTGCGTTTGTTTTGAGTGCGACATGTTCATCTTCCTCGGACACGACACAAAGTTTTGAGCCACGTGTCACGATTACTATGGGAACAGCATAGATGTATGCTTGGTTCCGTGATGTCCTATCTAGGACATCTCCAGGACTGATGTACTGTCGTGGACATGGAAATCCAGTCGCACGTCTAGCGGCCCCAGGGCACTGGCCATGCAGCCGTGGATAAGCGGAACGTGCATTACTAGTATGTGATGCAGCGCAGCGTGCTGGTCGCACCGTACGCACTGAGGGCGCCGGCCCCGGTCCATCGACTGGATTTCCATGTCCACTACAGTACAATCATGCACTATCACACAGTGACAAGGTTTCACATGGTAGATCTACAGCTTGTATGGTGTTTTGAGTTTCAGACGCCCTTCCGTGCAAACGACCGTGATTACGTGCCCGAATAAAAGACCAGTGGGTGTAACCTTGCTTTATTTATTTATTATTTCGACCAGTCGGCTACCATACTTCTTTGTTCCTCTTGGAGGCTAGACAAGGGGAAGAAGCCATGTAGGGGAGCGAGCCCGCCTTTAGGCATCGGGACTGGAGTTACAGCTGGCTCGACTCGACTGTACTGAGTGAAGAGAACCCACACCTATTCACCTATTCACCTATTCACCTATTCACCTATTCACCTATTCACCGTACTTTACTCGCAATGAATCGCAGTACACAAGCAAAATAGTCATTTAGTTGTTGAGACGATCACAGTAGCATGAGCCATGCATACCCGTTACCTTGGTTACCGGTGCACTGCGGCCACTTCAGGAAACGAGAACAAACAACAATACCCAATAATAATAATAATAATAATAATGACAGTTCGCATTTCACTCATTGCATGAGGTCAACGCATCTGTTAACAATTTCGAGCCAAGCAGCTCTATCAGAAGCAGATTGCACAGCATCCAGAAGCGACAGATTAATGCATTGTAAGTCTTTCTTGACAACGTCGATCCATCTCAGACGGGGTCGTCCTCGGGGTCGTCGTATGTCTGTTGTGTTGATTGACATTAGGAGGGCTTGGAAAGAGGACGATTCTTCGCCTTCCCTCACTACATGGCCGAACCACAGCAGTCTCCGTTGCCTGCAGACTTGGGATAGTGGGGTCTGCTCGGTTCTGGCATACAGCGCTGTGTTCGAGATTCGTTGTGGGTACGTGATACCAATGATGGTACGTAGTTTCTTCCGGTGCCATACATTGACGACGTCGGTTAATGTTTGCGATAAGGTCCAAAGCGCACAGTTATACAGTAAGACAGGCAATATCAGGCAGGAAAACATACACAGCCTGGAATTCAGGTTGTGGCGTTTCCATGGAATGCTTGCAAATGCCCGATTTGCAGCAGACACTCTGGCTGCTATGTCTTCTGCTGTGCCTAGCATACTCCCCAGCAGCTTCACCGATTTCCAGGAATCATCTTCCTTGGTCACAGTAAAATATTGAGTTTTTGCCACGTTCAGCTTCAGATTGTCATCCGAGAAAACGGGTTCACACACACGGACGGTTTCTTCCACAGATGATCGCTCGTTCTGATGGGCAGTGGTGTCGTCTGCGTATTGTGTGAAAGTTGCTGGTAGGTCTGACGCGGGTAGAGCTTGCTCTCGGATCTTACGCATGGAACCTTCGGCGTAAGTTATAAACATTATTGGTGACATCGGGTCACCCTGGACGACGCCGATGTTCGTTGGAAATGGTTTGCTTAGTTGTTTACCAAGCTTCGTGCGGGCTGTTGTGTTTGATACTAGGACTGCAGTGGTGGACGTTGGTGCGCCAGCAGTGGCTAACCTCTCCAGAGCAACCTGACGAATGACAGTGTCAAACGCACCACTGAAGTCCAATAGTGCCGATGAATATGACCAGTCGCCAAGTAGTGCGCGCTCACACATCGTCCTGGCGTAAAAGACACCATCCGTGGTCGATCTGCCAGGGCGGAAACCAGCTTGGCTCTCTGCCACATATGACTGCACATGGAGTGTGTGTCGTCGGGTGAGTATTGACGTCAAGATCTTACGGACGACAGAAAGGAGCATAACGGGGCGGAGCATAACAATACCCAAGAACAGAACAAAACTGGCCAACCACTTACCCAGAATCACTGGAGCACCATGACAAACGGGGACGATGAACGTCCAGCGGCGAGCGCTCCTGCAGCCAGGAGTCACGGTTTGCTTGAATCCTGGACACGACTTTGAACGTCGTGGGCGGATAAGCTGTACCGGTTCTCTACGTCGTGATGGTATGGAGCAGTCGAATGGAGCCTCCGAGCCACTAGAAAACTAATTATAAGTACTTCGATGAAACCCTTTGGCCAACACACAGAGTCTTACACAGCCTGCACCCAAACAAACTTCGACACGAAGCAGCAGACGGCCAAACTAACACCACCTCGCTGCCTACAACAACTAGTCCACACTGGCTGTAACACAAAGTAGTTACATGAAAAAATGGAGAAACTACAGCTAACGCTGCAGTGAAATATTTCACCACGAAGCTCCAGTGAGGAAAATTGATGGGGCACGTTTCGCCGAGGTGAGCAACCGCGTAGCTAGATGATTTACAGCTTGAAAGTGCTACGTCACTCCATAGCAATGGCATAGCAACAATTTGAAAAATTCGAAAACTGGATCCACCTGGATCCAGTTTTTGTATGGATCCAAGCACATTTCAAGCGGTCTCACTCACAGCAAGGTGATGTTGCCAGTGAAACTGACTGATTTGGCTAGTGGGGGCGGGGTGACAACTGGTGGCGAAGTAAAAGTTCCACCTGCATACGACATGACCGGGTTGCTATAGCAAAGTCACACCTTAGTGGATCCAAAATAGAAATCTGATGTCAATTTACTACTCCCAGGCCGTTTTTGACGTCATCACTTTCAAGCCCTAGTATCAGACTATTGAAGCAGCGAATGAGCTAGCCGTGCGTGAGGCCCGATGGTGGCCGGGTGGGTAGATCTACGGGTCCGTGTCACGTTTTGTGGATGTCATGCCTGTATTTAGAAAAGCGATCCCGTCAGCTTTTGTTTACTACAATAGTCAATACCGTGCTATAGTGCTGTATAACAGATCATGATAACGGTCATACAACCTCTGTCCGCAGAACTGGATGTCCAGGCAGTCATGTATATGTATGGGGCTGTTAAGTGATGACGTCACAGTTCCTTCGATACGCATAGCAACGATCCCACTGGGGACAAACAAAAGTAGCGTCGTCTCCACCGAACCAGTTGTCAGTGGCAACATATAGGAATCGTGTACATAATTTCTTCGTTTCTTCTTTGCTGTTTTCAGTAAGTGTTTTGTTTTCTCTTTGTCCTTGATCTCGACGGCGTTGTCGTGCTCATTACCTTACTGAGACGTCTCTTGTGACTGTAGCCAGTGTCACGGAGGATTTTATTGGCGTGACGAGGTAGATCGCCGAGATCGAGCGTGAAAAACGCTCTGCATTAGTAGCTCCTGTAGAATGTCTTCTGGGATGGCGTATCCATGGTGAACAAAGCCAAGGTGCAAGACAGCATAAGAGATCGTGTAAACGATGTGAACTCCAAAAGGTAAGCTCCTGAACAAGTGGAAAGATATGTGTATTTACAAACTCTCTCTACATCCATCAATTGCCGCTATGCATTGCATTTTGTCTTCGCAGATAATCTGGACAAATAAATTATAGTGCAATCGTGCTTGGGACCCATCCCAATGTCATCACATGGCTGTGGTGACTAGTGTATACCTGGGAGAGTTTTTCCTCAACTGAGACGGAGTGTAGGTGGATGGATTATGAGAAATGCGAAGATGTGGAGTAAGTTGTGTCGAAGAAATGTGTAATAAAATAAAATTTACTTTACACCGTGCTCAAACATACACTGTACATGTACATGTAACATGATCAGTAATGATTCCATCTTCATATCTCCGCAACAGGTACGCCATACGCACCGAATACATGGTGTGTGTGCACCCGCGCGTGTACATGCACACATTCTCATGCGTGGCCGAGTTGGCCGGATGAACAGACCACGCATTTGCACGAGGTGTCCGTCATGTCGTTGGAGTGCTGTACTTTATGACTTTATTCCAAAATAGCATATCTTGCCCTGTCAAATGGAGTTTGTGTCTATGCTCAGCGGGTATCGGCCCTATCGGGCTATGATGCCACACTGCAGTCAGCGCTGGAATTAAAATAGCACTTCATGGATTATTTTAACTAATTTCCTTTGCGTTTACTTTGTTGAGCCCGTGGTTTCATTTCTGTGTTCTGTTATGGTTGGCCTCTGGAAATAATCGGAGTGGATGTCATTTTTGTCATATGTGTGTGCCTTGTGCAACAGGTTCAAGGCTAGATGCACTTCACATTCGGCGTGCGATCTCGGCGTCTGGGACCTGATAACGTCTTGGTTGGATGGGTAATCAAGGATGATACTACTCGGCACACCAATGTACATGTCAATGTAATTTTTACTTTTTCAGAGCTGCACTATTTATGTCTTGATGCTTACTTCGGTGCTAGCGTGTTTCCCCGGATTATTTCTATCATGCGTGTTCTTGGGCTGAGCGACCACATGCACAAGTGTGCAGCTATAGCCCTGTGTATCTTTGGCGACACTTTGTTCTGCAATGCATGTACCTTGTAACAGTATGTGCTTGCACTGCTTTGTGTGGCCTGCGTATTTCAGGACTATTCAGTGCATTAGACCCAGGTTGGTTTGGTTGCCGGATGATCTCTTGTTGCAACGCTCTGTGTTTTGTATTCATCAATTTTTGGGCTTGAGAATTGAGCTGGTGTGTGGTTCCCAATATGAAAACATCATGCTGGTGCTCTGTGTTTCGATTATCGACTGTCTGAGCAGTCACGATTCATTACCAGAACGGTCAATACTGTAGTCTCTTCACGTGTTTGTCTTTTTGTGTTTTCGCCGGGGGAATTAGCGGTGACGCTGCACGTAGAACGGCAAAGTTGCATCACTGCACGACCCTGCCTCTGCATCTGACTTCATTTCCCAGGATCTGGTGCAGATACACCAGACAGTCACTTCCTGTAAACACGCAAACAGCAAAAGAAGAGATGCCGCAAATCAGGAAAAACCATTGCGGAAAATATCGAGTAGATCATACACCATTCAATAATCTGGAGTAATTACAGTGAGACAAACACTTCAAACAGTGCTCTCTCTCTTTTTCTCTCTCTCTCTCTCTCCATCCTTCCAAAATACCCTGTAACAATTCCCTAGAATTATTTTATTTTATATTCTCAGGACATCATTCTGAACAACTTCTTCCATGGGTCTTCAATCACCACGGAGGGCGAGAATATATCTAAGTCATGCAGTCTACGGGAGGTGCGGGCTGTCATGGATATAGAAGCTGATATTGTGGCAGCGTGAGGGCAGAGACAGAAAGAAGACACTGATTTCTTGAACAACTCACCTACATATAATCGAATCCACAGGAGGGCTCGTACTTTGATCCATCAGGACGCGAAGAATCTTCAAAGCACTCTCAAACACGGAGTTTTACAGTGGGCAGCCAATTTCACAGCCATTATGAAGGCCCCTCGACGACTACAGGAGATTTGTAGAGGAAAGAACAAAGAGTAAAGAGCGACAACAATCGCTTGAAGAAAAAGCAAGCAAAAACTGCTCTCTCTCCAGTCATTTAGATGCTGTTGCCTTTGACAACTGGTTCCATCCAGAGGACGCGACTTTTGTTTGTCCCCAGTGCTCTCCGTTGCTATGCGTATCGAAGGAGCCGTGACGTCACACTTAACAGCCCCATTGTTGTTGGGGTTGGGGGCCAGTTGTGTGTATTTGAATTCGCAAACCGAACGGACTGAACATCATACATGTCCAATGACAAGGAAGCGAATGAGGTCCAAGTAACCCAGGCATGGGAAAACTTGGAAAGGTGACACAGGTGAAAGGAAAATTGGGGAAATATGTCATTGCATTGGTGTAGTGCGCCGAGCCGCCGACGCGGCATGGCCCTGGCGGCTGCTACAGCACCGAAAAGACGAGCGACGACCGTGACGGCACCACAGCCCAAGAGCATGGAACGAGGAACGGACATCGACTTTTATATTCTTGCACTAACACCCCCCCACCACCACCACCACCACCACCACCAGGGGGACCGCCAATACATCATATAGCTGCTGCGGTTGTTTCCTTCCATCTCTGCACTTGTGATTGCTTTGGTGTGAAGGCACTGCTTGTTGATCAAGTCTTGAGACTTTCTACTTTGTATAATGTGCTGGTTTGACAAATCTTCCCCATCTTCGTCTTTGGCTTTTCATCTATTGTGGTGACAGTACTCATCTGTTTCACTTGATAACGCCGCACCTTTTTCCTTTTTGTTACATGTACGCAAACCCTTTCTGTATGCAATTGTAAGGTGATTTCTCTCTCTCTCTCTCTCTCTCTCTCTCTCACGCACGCACTCTCTCTCTCGCGCGCGCGCACGCACTCTCTCTCGCTCTCGTGCACGCACTCTCTCTATCTCGACCGACCGACGTAACATAATTCTCAAATTGACCCTATACTCTTGGCTGGACCCGTGCAACGTTACCATTAATAGGCATTATGCGTACATGTACGGTACACATCTGCACGCACACACAGAGCCAATTAGTCAGTTCTTCAATTTCTAGGAAGTAAGTAATGTGGCTGGTGACCAATTCAACCTATGGGGTTTTGTCAATCACTGACAAAAAAAGACTACTATGTACACAGTTATAATGAGTATGTATGTGTAGAGAGCTGTTGAGTTTTAGAGACTAATATTCTATGTATATATAATACATCATATCCGATCCATGGACAGCATTCTATATACATAATATCTATATAATTATAATATGCCTCCAACCTAATGTATAATATGTACATAGACAATAAGCATTTCAGGACAGTGCCTATGTAGAATGATGGCCTGAAAGAACTGGACACCAAACACATCATGCATATGGGTCCCCAGCAGAACAGGGTATGCATGTGCAAACGTAAAAACACAGGATCACAAAAACACACACAGTGTGCACCAGTTGTCCATCACATGACCTAGCCGCAGCAGAATATCTACATTGTACACCGCCTTGGCATACATGCATGTAGAAGCCGATGGATCACTGGTGTTTACAAATGTTCAGGTAGCTGAAGAGTAGACACTGAGTGATCAAAATCGAGTGCAATAAGCGTATCGCCATCCACCATCAACTGCAATGTAAAGGATGTACGTGATGGCGACGGCAAGACAGAACGCCGGCCTATACACGTACTACAATCAACACTAATCACTAATTCATCATCATCAACATCATCATCATCATCATCATCATGATCACAGTACATGGGTAACAGTATAGTGTTACCCACAGCAGCTGGTACAACACACTTATGGAATAGATCTACATCAAGAGTCTTAGGCACGTCCACTTTAAACTCGAGCCATGATGGCATTCGCAGACTTTCCTCACTTACATCCAACTTCATGATTGACCAATGCGTATCATTGCGGTCGCTCCTTGGTATCACAAACAGAGTATCGTCAGTGCTGCAGATGCTGACCGGCGGCTCCGGCATGCTGAGCGGGTCCAATTTTGCCCATACTGCTCCATCATGTCTGGTATCTAATGAAATAACTTCTAAGAAATGATTGCGCCAGAAGCATACTATTAGAAGCGCTGCCTGGGTTATAAATACATACACAAAAGGTTCGACAGATGTATCCATACTCGTATCTTGTGCTGGGATACAATCACATTGTATTTCTCTAGTACAACAGTTTCCCTGTAGATCTACAACATGGATCTTGGGGATATACCTATCACTGATACTTGCAAAGTACATTTTTTCATTGTGAATGCAAAAGTGATTGCATAACCAAAGGTTTGGGATGTCATTGGCGATTACTCTTGTCCATGCAACCTGAAGACTTTCCTTGAGAGAATGAGTAGACCGGTAGATCATTGCTCTTTCCTCCTCTTCCTGGCACACAATGTAAGCATGCCCATTGTACATGGTACAACGATGGTAACGGTGCCAGCTATCAGGTAGACTGCCACGAAAAGACCACTGCAGAATATCAAAAACAGAAAGGAAAAAAAATGGACGGAGTACATTTTTCAGCATAGCTCTGATCAAGATATGGCATGCGTTTTCAGACAGGGTATGCTACTTGTGAAATACACCACTCCTCACTGCAAGTTGCAACTATACCTAATAGTGAAGAATATTGTGCATTGTGTCTTTTGCACAAAGATAAATAGAGAGTGGAGCAGACGAATGCTAGTTAGGAGGAGGATCCGAGTCATCGCCTGCACTATCGCAGCTTCAGTCATCACTGTCCGAGTTCATGATGGACTGGAGCGCCCCTTAAGCCGATATGCGGCGGCTCGCCGTATCTGAGTGACAGCTAGAGAGACCTAAAGTACGTTCGGTCAATCTAATTGTTTCTGAATCGAAACATGTTTTTCGCGCTCGCGCTTTGAATGTATGCTCCCGTGCCCATACTTACTCAAACACGGCGAGTGAGGTCTTATTCAGTAGGGGAAAACCCCTAGTTTCCCCTCGAAGAGCCACAATCGGCCAAGTTAGATCGTAGTGCATGGCCAGTGAGATATAGTAGTGCGCACTACGAGGACGAGATATCTCGTCCTTGGCCAATCGCGTGGGGGTCTGTAGGACGAGTTATCTCGTCCTTGGCACTGAATGGGTTAAATTTCTATTTCTCAGATTTTAATGAAATACAACAGCCCACCATACTCCACGTCAAATGTTCAAAGGGGTACATGTCCCTCCCCCCCCCCCCCCTCCCCTCCCCTCCCACACACACACACCTAACATTGCCAGACCTAAATCTGTCCTTGCGTTACCTTTGATGTTTGCATCTGGTCTCTTCTTACCTGGGACTTAAGTTGCGGCCGGAGAGACAGCTCATTGTCAGCTCCCTGGATTTCTGCTGCGTGGTCAGAATTGGCAGAGACATGGATTGAAATGGCCTCTTCAGGATCTGCAAGAAAGGAGACAAAATAAGAAATGAAAAAAGAAAGGCAGGAAAACAGATTCAAACCTGAGGCATTTCTCTGCACTGTCCCGATGTCGCTACCACTATTCCGTACTGTGATGATAACATCGCTTTTTTGAGGTACACAACATTCTGAATTCTCTTGCTCGAAAATGCTGTTTGTGACGGATCCAAGTGTTGGCGTTCCTGCCGAGTGACTTGACACTTGACTAACACACGATAGCTGTCTTAAGCATACCAGAAGCACGTCGAACCTTCCACTCGGCAAACCTGCAAGAAAGTACCACTCCTTGCTCAACGTGCTGCTCGTGTGCTCCAGACGGCAGCAGCTGTTGGTCAGCCAAGTGTCAGTTATTCGGCAGAAAGCAGCAGCTGCAACATTCGAAGGTGCCACTTTCTTGAAACTACAATGTAAATGAAAAACGAAGATAATTTGACGGTCGTGTGAAATTCCCATCTGAGCGACATGAGGGAGGCCAGAAAGACACGTGTGTTAAGCCTAGCGAACACACACACACACACACACACCACACGCACGCACGCACGCACACACACACACACACACACACACAATATGTACACGTGTGCACTGTGATGAATCAATGCTTCATCACAGCCATATTGGTGTACTTACGATCAACGTTAACAGAGGTCGAAGTTGCCTTTCTTGCCGCCACACCTAAGAAAGACCGGAAAGGGAAAGACAAAGCATAATTTTACGACTGCAGGGTCACTTGTTTTCCTTATGTCTTAGGTGAGATTCACAGAAGCATTCTTGCAATGCTATGTGCGATACGAAGTGATCTGCGACGCCGCCGTGCGATGCAAACTCACAAATTACCATTCACAGAAGAAGTCAGCGATGCAACGATGCCTTGCTGACGTGCCTCAAAGCTCGGCAATGCAAATGTGTACGTCACTGTGGCATTTGTGTAGTCGGGTACAGCTTGTACAAATCTACAAGCAACTCTTGAACCTTTTCGTACACCTTTGTCGCGAAGGTCAAAACCGTACATCATATCGCATGTCACACGGCAGAAGTTGAGCCAAGCAGTGGCAAGCTCTACTTCTGCGATGGGCCAGTTGTGACGGCTGAGTGAGCTGCGTGCGTTTTGGGAATATCCTGGTTTCAAGGCCGACGCATTGCGGATCACATCGTAAAAATGCTTCCATGAGTACCACATAACAGCGAGTGACGTTGCTGGTGCAAAGATGCATGAGATTCATATGCTCCCTCCCCCCCCCCCCCCCCACACACACACATCACCTTTATAGGGGAATACCCTCCACAGACTTGCTGAAAAGTCTACATGCAGCACAATGGCCTGGAGAAGATCAGTACAAAGGGAGTGTTCAGTACAAAGGGAGGCTTTTCTGAAGGACCACAAGTTCATCAATATATTCACCAAACCGGCCTCCGATTATTCCGATGCGGCAATACGCGCCATTTCTCTTCATTGTGGTCCCAGTGACATTGCCAAAATGATAATATGGCATGTGTGATTTTATACCACGATGTAAATACTGTCACTTGTGCACAATGGTTCGCAACATAGACAGCAGGGCCCAATAGACAAAGTACACGCAACACAACCACAAAACAATGGTATTGAAACTCACCACCAAGAATCTCAGGCAGTGCATTCAAGCATGCTCCGCCTTCATCGAAGACGAGCTTAGTCGCTGCAATCACTGCATGCTCAACATCCGGTTGATCAGCCACAGCAAAAGACAGCTCACCTCGGTCCAAGGATGGAAATCTCCCGGAGAACTCTTCAACCAAGCGTTTCTGGTCATCAGGAGTAATACCTGAACAAGAAAGCAAAGAGTTTCGGACATTTTGCTCCAGACATAAATTTGAAGCATATCAAGGAAACTGTTTGGTTGTGAATACTACTTCGTTCTGTCAAAAGAGTCTCCTAGAAAACTTGTATGCAGACAAACAGACAAACATCATCAAACAAATGCAGACAAACATCATGGACCGAAACATGCCTTTCACCAACCACTTTCCCAGACGACAGCCAGTCGTCTGTTGACTAGTGATGACCTCCCTATCATCATGGAACTAACGCTTAGGAGTTCACTGACTTCCCTATCATCATGGAACTAACGCTTTAATAGGAGTTGACTCGCTGTATATATGGGACTAACGCTTAGGAGTTGACTCGCTGCAATCGGTGCATTCCTAGTATTTTCCTACTGCATCAATCCGTCTTACCTTCGCCACTGCATGCCGTGGGACGGAAATTGAAGACAACTGCTCCGTCCACAGTTGACACTTCGAGAATGTGCAGACCAGCGAGCAGGCTAGATTGATCCTTACAGAACTCCCAGAGCCTTGCATGAGCCTTTGCAGACATCTGTACAAACACTGCTGTGCCTCCGCTCTCGCCGTGTACACTGTCGGCGTGGATACTCTCATCACCAAGGAGATTACAGAGATTACGCACGACACTTTTAACGAAACTCGGGGCCGTGTGATTATATTCACAGTCGATGATGAACTTCACTATAGACGACCTCTGATCTGTTTCAGAATAATAACAGTGTATATGCATGCACAGTGACACATGCACGTTCACGCATGTACACATCCATCAAGTCAGAGACCAAATAAAGAAGAAAATGGGGAAGTTCGACTGAAAGGGGTGATTGTATTTTTCATGCAAGTAAGCATAGAGTAACAGCAATGGATAGCCCTGAAGAGTAAATAGGTAGTGCCATGAAGAAATGAGGGTATTAAGCATCATTAACTTGTGAGTAGAATTATTATTCGCTATTAGTCTAGCACAAAAATTTCAATTTCGTATAAGACCAAGATGCGGCCTTTCCACCTGCACCTTCGATCTGCTCGGCATGTTTACTAGTACGTGCATGAAAAACATGGCGGGATGCGCACAATATCATGTGACACATACTGGATACCATCTCAAGTGTAGAACCGGCAATACAAACGACCGGATGCTCCCATGTACAAGTTTTAGGTAACCTATGCCTCTTTGCCGTTCATATCTGATCACTTGATTACATGGTACTATAGGGCTTGAAAGTGATGACGTCAAAAACGGCCAGGGAGTACTAAGTTGACATCAGATTTCTATTTTGGATCCACTAAGGTGTGACTTTGCTATTGCCTCAGTATGTGGGTGCATAGCAACCCACTCATGTCGTATGCAGGGGTGACTTTTACTTCGCCACCAGTTGCAACCCCGCCCCCAGTAGCCAAATCAGTCAGTTTCACTGGTTACATCACCTTGCTGTGAGTAAGACGGCTTGAAATGTGCTTGGATCCATACAAAAACTGGATCCAAGCGGATCCAATTTTTGAATTTTTGAAATTGTTGCTATGCTGTGACGTAGCACTTTCAAGCCCTATTGTGGAAAATGCTGGCCCACACACATGCACACACTGGCAAACACCCACACGCACACACATGTGCGCACGCGCATACACACACACATACGCACACACACACACACTTACGCACACACACACTTGCGCACACACACACACACTAGCGCACGCACGCACGCACACACACACACGCACACACACACACATACTTGGTCCGTGTCAGCAATATTGTCGCTTAACTTTCGACAATTTGAACTTAGACTTTGGACATGAACGCGTGCACTTGAAGTGATAAAACTTGGTACGATGGACGTTAAGGTATAGAATGACAACTAGCTGCGAGGAATTTATTGTCCAAGGAAGGGTTCCTACTTTTTTCGATCCTCCTCGTCGCTGCTCTCGTCGCTGGCAACAAATATTTTTGCTCGGGATCGACTCTCTTGCTTTTGCAAGCTCATCTCTCTTCCTCTCCGCTGCCTGGCTATTTTCTGAAGAGAAGTCGATCGTGACGGTCGCCTTCTCTATATAGGACTTCGCGTGGGCAGCACGACAGCCTGTATGGTTCACATCAGACGCCGTTCTTTGCAAGATCTTATTTTGAACGACGACGACGCGTACAGTACTTGCAAATCTCCACGATGCGCTGGATACTCCGAGCGTTGAGCTGGAGGTAAGGGAGCTGCGATCTCAGCTTGATGAGCGATCCCTGAGGTGAGCGATCTCGGCCGTTCAGCAAAATGGAGCTGATTCCGAGTAGCCGATTACTTTCTTGTGGCTTACGCTGCTCTTGCCTGCACGGCGTAAAAAGATAATCTATTTTGATGCGGCGCTGTATCAATCTGAATCGCCCACCTGTCGCTCTTGAAATCCACTCGAACTCTAGCTAGACCTTTCAGGTACTAGCAAACTAACTTGCTAACCAAAATTGGGATGAAATGGGCTGCCAAGTAAGCATTGGCGACATATAAACAAAGCTCAAAGATAAGCGACAATATCGCTGACGCGGACCAAGTACACACACACACACACACACACACACACACACACACACACACACACACACATGAAAGGTGGAAAGTGGAGCTCCTAAAGCGGGATGAGTTATGTAAAATGACAGACTATCTGGCATTCGGCAGCTCCCTTATCAAGCAATCACGCAATCATGCTAGCACAGTAATGCTGACCTTTAAACTTCAGTCGTTTGCTGTCACGAATGGCCAGCCTAGTCACAGGAACTAGTTCATATTCAGTGATTTCTGTGATGAACGTGTTCTCGTCGATGAAGCCAGTATCCTTCAAGTACTGCTTGGTCTCTGAAATGCTGCGCTCGTCCCTTGCAGATCCAGTGCCCATGCTGATGAAACAAGGGTGCTTACTCAACTCTCTATGTATATCAGCTGGCGATTTTTCTGCGACAGACGAGAAAGATGCAAAATGGACAAACACACCGAACAAAGTGAAAACCAGTTCACATCAGTCTATACAACGACTGAGAGCCTGGATGGGTTTGAGCACACCCATGCCAAGACAAGCCACCGGCCGCACCAAGAATACATTCACGCCCAGCCTCAAGGTTCTATTCATCAGTGATTGCAGTTTGGTCCATGACAATTGCCATACAACAGGAGCGTGTGTGTTGTCTTTCAGCCTGGTAGGTCTCTGAAAGACATGCTGGTTTGTCTTCATTCACCAGTAATGAGTGCCCCCACCCCTCTCGAGAGGTGTACAGAATGGAGAAGAGAAAGAGGAGGCAAGAGGGATGTTGTGAATGTGATGTTGGTACGAGTGGCGGTCAGTTTATGTAGTCAAATGTTATCTACTCAATGCTCTGTTTGTTTCATGGAGAGGATTATGTGGGAGAGACGGAGCGATGTGTCAGGGACCGCATTGAAGAGCATTACAGAGAAGCAAGAGTGTGCGCAAACAACGAAGCCCTGGGGAGAGCACCACGCATTGCACCAGATGCTACAGCACAAAGCAGGGTGGTGGTGGTGGTGGTGGTGATGGTGGTGGTGGTGGTGGTGGTGGTGGTGGTGGTGGTGGTGGTGGTGGTGGTGGTGGTGGTGGTGGTGGTGGTGGTGGTGGTGATGGTGGTGGTGGTGATGGTGGTTGTGGTGGTGATGGTGGTGGTGGTGGTGGTGGTGGTGGTGGTGGTGGTGGTGGTGGTGGTGGTGGTGGTGATGGTGGTGGTGGTGGTGGTGGTGGTGGTGGTGGTGGTGGTGGTGATGGTGGTGGTGGTGGTGGTGATGGTGGTGATGGTGGTGGTGGTGGTGGTGGTGGTGGTGATGCTGGTGGTGGTGGTGGTGGTGGTGGTGGTGGTGGTGGTGGTGGTGATGCTGGTGGTGGTGGTGGTGGTGGTGGTGGTGGTGATGGTGGTGGTGGTGGTGGTGGTGGTGGTGGTGGTGGTGGTGGTGATGGTGGTGGTGGTGGTGGTGGTGGTGGTGGTGGTGGTGGTGGTGGTGGTGGTGGTGGTGGTGGTGGTGGTGGTGGTGGTGGTGGTGGTGGTAAGATATTATCAATCTGCAAACTATATATGCTGATGCACTAGAGACAGGTACAATTTATTGCTTACCAACTTGGCCGTCCGCACGTGTCACATGACCCTGGTACTTCTCTGCCTCATCTGCACTGTCCTCCGTGTCATCAATGATGATAGTGTAGGACACCAAGTGGTCGATTTCAGTGAATGTCGCTTGCCGTTGTTCTGAGGAAGACCAAAGCAGGAAAATAAAAATTGCATGTATCGGGTGAGACTCAGTTAAAGGCCGAGCTTTCCGCATCCGTAGGAACCCTACCACCCTTCAAGGATCAGAGCAGAACCGGGGTGATAAAAACTGAAAGCAAATTTCTAGTGGACAGCAAATTGCAGAGGGTAGAAAATCACCTTTCACTCCAGTTTATACGTGAGCCATGGCTTAGTGCACATGAAGTACTTACAACATACAAGAACAATGAGAGACCAAAACCTACTCTAAGTGTTTGCAAGTGGGAGAACGCAATCAATGGCACATTGCACATACAGCTACGTGTAAAAAGTAAATAAAAAAAGTAAATTATCGGGTCCGTTCTGGAAGGGAACTCACGACGCCGCTAACACCCGGTAAACCCTAGCGGCAGATGCGCCGCATAATGGTGGAGGTGAGTGGATAAGTTTCACAACCACTGGCAGAAGTGCTGAGAAACCCCATTAGCAGCATTCATGGACCCCTTGTGCCTGACCACAAGTTCCCAGAAGACTAGGTAGCAGCATGGCTGGAAAAACCGCTTCCACAGCTACGTGTAGATTGAATAAAAAAAATCCTTTTTCCACGATAACATTGGCTCGAGATCCGAATTCAAACAAGACATCAGTAGATACTAGCCCCGTGCCTACCTTCTCCCATGTTCTGCATCCTCAGCAGGTCTACGCTCTTAGGCGAGGTTGGCTGTGGTACGTGGATGGGTTTCTTTCTCTTGTCAAGGACGGTCTGTGACGTGCGCATTCGTGCCACATCCTCGGCAGTGTGGACCACCCGTTGACGTTCCGGTGCTGAGAACTCTTTCATCAGGTCTACCACTTTATTACAGTCTTTTTGGCATTCCGGAGAAACTGGAGACCACACACGCATGCGCCACCAAACATACCGGTAGAAGGACAACAAATTCAGTTGTTAATATGCTTGACTAAGACCTGTAGCTTCTTCAGCAGAATGTACAACACCACAAGACACGGCTACGCAGTACAGCCGCTGGTGTTTGGATATCCCGGGAAAGGCCGACTCTCCGTTGGTCCTTGGAATCCAAAACCTTCTGAGATGTGGGCATCTTGCCTCCCACTCGGAGCCCATGCCTATTGTTCCCCACCCCAACGCATCCCAACCCAATGCGTCCCAACACACCGCCCCTTCATCACCTTCCTCTGCCCAACTTCCCCGGCCCAACTTCCCCTGCCCAACTTCTGGTAGGTTCCACATTTCACAATAGAATCAGCTGAAGCCAGGGGAGTTTAGTGGCTTTCCCAAGGTGGCGTTGAGGCTGGAACACCAAGGTCCTCACTTCTTCTTTTCCAAACATGGACGTTTCTCAGATTATCACCAAAGTACTAATGGTATCCAACAGTACGTGCTGTACATGTAATAAAATTCTGTGAGTGTCTCTCAGTCACCTGACTGATAAAATTTCTACTTACCTCCAACATAGGTATCCACTGACTGCATGTCATCTAGGAACTTTGAAAAGTTTGCTTCAGGTTCGGTTCTACGCACTATACTACAGAAAGTGTGGAAAGTCTCAGCTGTACCCCTGCTCAGCATATCTAGCAGTCGGTCATTGTGTTTGGCAGAATCATCTTCTACTCCCATCAATTCCTTCTTCTGCGTATCGGTGAGCAGCCCTTCGGCAAGGCATTCCGTGCGGATCGTGCCACAGCTGAGCGCTGTTTTGAGGCGTGGGATCCACTTGCGGAACACTCGACTTGACCATGGCCCTGTGTTGCCCGCTTGGCTCTGCAAAGTCAACATACATATACACAGCGACACGAGCATGAAATTAAGAACCTACTGGCACACGGGCAGTTCAATTCCGCCTCCGTAGGCAAATAGCCAGCACGCTTCCACTGCAGAAGAAAACTAGCAGCAAATAGCCGGTAGAAACCTGCATGTGTGATTTACGGGAAGCGGTTTGTTAACTAATGCAGAACATCTACACTACACTTTCAGACGTGCCAAACTCTTTTCTCACTGGTGTGATTTGTTTCAATACGCAGTGAAAGTCCAGTATAAACTATAAAATACCCTTGAAAAAGTGTGGCACGCTGCCTAAACAGTACTTTGTGCGCAGGGTGCAGAGCGTCTGCGTATGGCAGAGAGAGGATCCAAGTCGAAAAATATTTTGACTCAAAGTTTCATTGTGTGTTTCGTTTATTTTTTTGTACATGGACATACATACGCTCTTGCTTGCTTTCGCTATAAAAAGGCCAGGTTCGCCCCTTGGAAATTGCTCTGACGATGGGTGACTGGCCCGAAACGTCACTAATTTTTCCAACAAAGAATTTGTAATGCAGCGCCGGCACAGATTGTGAAAAGTAATTGAATAGAGCGGTTGTCAGTTGACAAACCCCCTATTCTTCAAAAATACAGTTGCGTGATGTCTACAACTTTCTTAGTCAAAGTTTCATGCCGAAGCAATCATCAGACAAGTTGACAAACAAGTCGTCTGATGATTGCTACGGCATGACACTTTGAGTCACAAAATTTTCCACTAGGATCCTCTCTCTTCCATAATGTAAATTATCGTGTCCGTCCCCGAAGGGAAATCACGACAGCCGCTAACACCCAGTAAACCATTTTTTAATTTTTTCTCATAGGAACTGTGTGTTGCTCCCTAGGTGGTAGCTGGTTTTTCCCCTGCTGACTTGAATTCTGGATGGCAGTCATGAGACAGTCAAGTGAGAATTTAAGTCGGCAGGAAAAACGCGAGCTCCCACATAGGGAGCAGCACACAATCAGTCCCCAAATATTGCGGGAGTAACGTCAACCTCTTCTTCACAGGCAGAGATATTTCGTAGGAAAGTTATCGGATATGAAGTAATAGTTTTCAGCACCTTGCTTTATAGTATAAAGGGAAAATACGGCTGCCAACATCGAAATCTCATTTCTTGTTCTCTGCTGACTGCCGAATTGAATGGGGTTTGTTCGAGGAAGCTCCCTGCGTCCTATATCCCCTTCGTACGAGGAAGCTCCCTTCATCCTACATCCCCAATCAAATCTGCGCACCTCAGCCAAAGCGCAGCGAGCTCCCCTTACTAGAAAGGGGTTTGTGCAAAACATTCACTGGAAGCGCTGTTTTGCCATGGACGACAATCACGGACAAAACGACATGCTAACAAGCTGTAGTCTTCGGGGTGCTTAATCGAATGATGATGATCCGAGAAGGCTGCAACACGTCACACAACTTTTACTACCAATGGTAGGGAGTTCAATTGAAAACCAATTTCGCGAGTTTCGCATAAAACGCTTGTTGTTGAAACCGGGAAGATGTGAGAAACAACCTGTGAAAATTTGAACTCAAAATTCCAAGGCAATCTAGAGTTATAGTTGATAGAAGATCGGAAAATGGGGGTGAAAATAGTCACAGAAGTAAATGCAAGTACGTATGTGGGCCGTGTGGTTTCCGTCCAGCACTGCACTATCTGGTGCGTACATGGTGATACAGGATGTGTGCATGTATGCAGTGTGCACGCATGCCGCGCGCGCCTACTTGTAAAAGTCACACGTTTTCACCGTCACTGCTTCTACAGTGTGCGCGCAGTTCACTCGATATTTGTTGTCAACCACCAGGAAATCGCCGTAGGCTGGTTTCTGTGATCATTTTCCTTCTATCGTGATAAAGCGCGAGCCTAAATGTTCTAGAATCCTCTTGTTCTAGACTAATTCGAGGCCGTTGAAAACGAAAATCGGGTGTTCCTCGCTAGGCCGAGTACGCATCTGGTCGAAATTAGTACTTCGAAGTGCCTCCGCGCGAAGCGCGGAGGCATTATTGTTGAAAGCAAGGCATGTGTGGCACCATTGGAAAGGTAATGACCTCAGCTATCCAAAAAATAGCATCGACAATGCCGAAAAGGCCGCGGAAGAAGATACTTGGGCCTCGAATTGCATCCCGAACTGCTGCCACGAGGCGCCCATTCACTTTGTACAGGCGAGCTGTGACTGCATTTTTCGCTTTTCGGCGACCGGACCTGAACTCCCTACCATTGGACCACAACCTCATGTCACTATTCAACATTAGACTGGTGATATTCACCACTTACGAATGCACCAGCGAGTAATTCAACTGCATTATCATCATGAAGAAATGCCTCGACCTCTTCAAAAGGGCAAAACACACTCCTACGTCAGTCATCTGGACCCCGTAGTTACGGGCACTTCGGTCTACCGGGCACCCTTTGGGTGAGTTTCAGTGGAGACACTTCTACCCTTTTGTCACTTTTAGTGGATTTATTGACACCACAATTATGCATCTATATCTATGGTCTCTCCCCATCAAAATGTATGTGATTTGGAGTTACGGACAGTTCAACATTACGGGTAGTGTCCGGTCCCAGACCGCCCGGACAAACGAGGTACGAATGTATAAGGCTGATGCAACTGCCGTCACTATTGTAGCAGGGGTCACAGCAATGACTTGCTGACTTGCTGACGGCACGTGCGCCCAGACAAGTGTTAGGTAGGTCATCATCTCCCAAACATTCCCCATACATCCTTTGCCTAGGTATCCTGCACCCCGTATTTCTGTGACACCCTTCGTTACTCTGGCCTGGGTAGCTGCTCGCGCGCCCATATTTGCCATAGCTACCCAGGCAGGCACAGTGGGTGCATTTCATTACGCACTTGAATCGATCCATGAATGGAATCTCGCCGTTCGATTTCATGTCATGAGCACTGGAAGGGTGACAGTAAGGGACCGCCCAGGCTCGAAGCCCACAGGAGGCAGTGATAGGATGCACCGTGCCGTCTTTCTATGTACTACTAGTCCCTTGATCACATGATACAGCATGGACTGTACACTCATACCTCATTTATCCGGGCACTGAAGTTCAGTCTACGGGCCCCCTTTCAGGTGAGCTAAACTACTCCTTTGCTACTTTTATTGGAAATAGTAAGATCACATTTCATATCTTTATGGCCTCTGCCAATCAAAACGTTGGTGATTCGGTGCTACGGGCAGTGCCCAATCCCGATCGCCCTCTAAAATACACAAGGAGTGTGGTCTGATATAGGCTCCACTCTCTACAGACTTCATTTTCGCATTACAATAATTATAAGCTCTAGCATAACGCACTGTGACTCCTGTCATTTATAATTATGTCTCTTACCAGAGAGTTTGGCTGGGGAGGCGTTGCTGAATCTCCTGTTGCCTTCTTGGTAACCGGCTCGCGTCCAGTCAGAGATCGAGCAATGGGCTTGGCAGTTAAGCTCTCTGTTGGCAGCACTGACCGCTGGACTTGCTGCACAGCATGTCCGCCTGGGTGTTTGCCACCAGCTATTGCTTGGCTCCTGGCCAAGGTAGCTGCCCTGGCACCGGCTATGGACATTTGGCGATGTTTTGGCTTTGGGTCTTGATTTAGGGCCGGTCTGACTGTTTCGTACCTATTCGATTCAAAACTAGATGCTAGTGTGGAGACACTAGCAGACCTGGACGAAGCAGCTTGTCCAGGTTTCGGAGAGGGCTTGGGATCAGCTGGGGCAGATGTCGCCGCCTCAGTGCCATCTGGTTGGTTACCGCCAGCCGCTAGTCGTGCGTGGTCACAGAGCGGTGGTCGTGAAGGAGACACAGGATCAGAAGTCACTACCGGCTGCACTCTGTGACCTGTAGTGGGATCCTTAGTTTCCACTGTTCTTGCTGTGTTGTGGGGAGTGACGGGCTTTGGGCGAGTAGGAGGCTGGGGGGCTCGACTGGTTTTCAAAGGTAGACTTTCAGCCGATTTCCCTTCCTGACCGGCTGAATTCAAGGCCGCTATCATTGCAGAGACGCCGGTGGGCTTGGCGGGAGATGCGTGAGTGGCCTGGGGTTTAACAACAGACTTTGGTTTGGGTGCTATGGCTGGCGGAGACCGAGTTGCTTGGCTAGGTGTTGGTGGTGGGTTCCCGGTGAACCGGGCTGGTTGACGTCGAGTTACTTTATTTGCTGCACCTTCATTGCCTGTGTTAGAGAGGACATAGAGAACAGGAAATAGCCGAATCATTTCACAGCCTCGCAAAATGCCTCCTTGCATGCACACACACCCACACCCACACACACCCACACCCACATCCACACCCACACACACACACACACACACACAGTGACAAGCACCTTTGCAAAACTTCAACGCAGGTTGGTGCCATCAATATGCACTGTACAGATATGTAGTAAAGCAACTCAAGGACATGCAGTATTGTCTGTACATGTACAGGCAGGTGTGTAGCTTCTCTATAGTCAGCATAGTCCGGTCAGTACACCAGAAAATGGTCGTCATAGCTACTACATAGTCTTAACAGGTAAAATGGAGGCTATGAGGTTGCCGGTGGCACATGGTCACCACACCACAGATGGCCGAGCTACGCCCCGTATATACAATTCTGTGCGTGTCTCTCAGTCACCTGACTGATAAAGTTTGTACTTACCTCCAACAAAGGTATCCACTGACTGCATGTCATCTAGGAACTTTGAAAAGTTTGCTTTAGGTTCGGTGCTACGCACAATAGTACAGAAAGTGTGGAAAGTCTCAGCTGTACCCCTGCTCAGCATATCTAGCAGTCGGTCATTGTGTTTGGCAGAATCATCTTCTACTCCCATCAATTCCTTCTTCTGCGTATCGGTGAGCAGCCCTTCGGCAAGGCATTCCGTGCGGATCGTGCCACAGCTGAGCGCTGTTTTGAGGCGTGGGATCCACTTGCGGAACACTCGACTTGACCATGGCCCTGTGTTGCCCGCTTGGCTCTGCAAAGTCAACATACATATACACAGCGACACGAGCATGAAATTAAGAACCTACTGGCACACGGGCAGTTCAATTCCGCCTCCGTAGGCAAATAGCCAGCACGCTTCCACTGCAGAAGAAAACTAGCAGCAAATAGCCGGTAGAAACCTGCATGTGTGATTTACGGGAAGCGGTTTGTTAATGCAGAACATCTACACTACACTTTCAGACGTGCCAAACTCTTTTCTCACTGGTGTGATTTGTTTCAATACGCAGTGAAAGTCCAGTATAAACTATAAAATACCCTTGAAAAAGTGTGGCACGCTGCCTAAACAGTACTTTGTGCGCAGGGTGCAGAGCGTCTGCGTATGGCAGAGAGAGGATCCAAGTCGAAAAATATTTTGACTCAAAGTTTCATTGTGTGTTTCGTTTATTTTTTTGTACATAGACATACATACGCTCTTGCTTGCTTTCGCTATAAAAAGGCCAGGTTCGCCCCTTGGAAATTGCTCTGACGATGGGTGACTGGCCCGAAACGTCACTAATTTTTCCAACAAAGAATTTGTAATGCAGCGCCGGCACAGATTGTGAAAAGTAATTGAATAGAGCGGTTGTCAGTTGACAAACCCCCTATTCTTCAAAAATACAGTTGCGTGATGTCTACAACTTTCTTAGTCAAAGTTTCATGCCGAAGCAATCATCAGACAAGTTGACAAACAAGTCGTCTGATGATTGCTACTGCATGACACTTTGAGTCACAAAATTTTCCACTAGGATCCTCTCTCTTCCATAATGTAAATTATCGTGTCCGTCCCCGAAGGGAAATCACGACAGCCGCTAACACCCAGTAAACCATTTTTTAATTTTTTCTCATAGGAACTGTGTGTTGCTCCCTAGGTGGTAGCTGGTTTTTCCCCTGCTGACTTGAATTCTGGATGGCAGTCATGAGACAGTCAAGTGAGAATTTAAGTCGGCAGGAAAAACGCGAGCTCCCACATAGGGAGCAGCACACAATCAGTCCCCAAATATTGCGGGAGTAACGTCAACCTCTTCTTCACAGGCAGAGATATTTCGTACGAAAGTTATCGGATATGAAGTAATAGTTTTCAGCACCTTGCTTTATAGTATAAAGGGAAAATACGGCTGCCAACATCGAAATCTCATTTCTTGTTCTCTGCTGACTGCCGAATTGAATGGGGTTTGTTCGAGGAAGCTCCCTGCGTCCTATATCCCCTTCGTACGAGGAAGCTCCCTTCATCCTACATCCCCAATCAAATCTGCGCACCTCAGCCAAAGCGCAGCGAGCTCCCCTTACTAGAAAGGGGTTTGTGCAAAACATTCACTGGAAGCGCTGTTTTGCCATGGACGACAATCACGGACAAAACGACATGCTAACAAGCTGTAGTCTTCGGGGTGCTTAATCGAATGATGATGATCCGAGAAGGCTGCAACACGTCACACAACTTTTACTACCAATGGTAGGGAGTTCAATTGAAAACCAATTTCGCGAGTTTCGCATAAAACGCTTGTTGTTGAAACCGGGAAGATGTGAGAAACAACCTGTGAAAATTTGAACTCAAAATTCCAAGGCAATCTAGAGTTATAGTTGATAGAAGATCGGAAAATCGGGGTGAAAATAGTCACAGAAGTAAATGCAAGTACGTATGTGGGCCGTGTGGTTTCCGTCCAGCACTGCACTATCTGGTGCGTACATGGTGATACAGGATGTGTGCATGTATGCAGTGTGCACGCATGCTGCGCGCGCCTACTTGTAAAAGTCACACGTTTTCACCGTCACTGCTTCTACAGTGTGCGCGCAGTTCACTCGATATTTGTTGTCAACCACCAGGAAATCGCCGTAGGCTGGTTTCTGTGATCATTTTCCTTCTATCGTGATAAAGCGCGAGCCTAAATGTTCTAGAATCCTCTTGTTTTAGACTAATTCGAGGCCGTTGAAAACGAAAATCGGGTGTTCCTCGCTAGGCCGAGTACGCATCTGGTCGAAATTAGTACTTCGAAGTGCCTCCGCGCGAAGCGCGGAGGCATTATTGTTGAAAGCAAGGCATGTGTGGCACCATTGGAAAGGTAATGACCTCAGCTATCCAAAAAATAGCATCGACAATGCCGAAAAGGCCGCGGAAGAAGATACTTGGGCCTCGAATTGCATCCCGAACTGCTGCCACGAGGCGCCCATTCACTTTGTACAGGCGAGCTGTGACTGCATTTTTCGCTTTTCGGCGACCGGACCTGAACTCCCTACCATTGGACCACAACCTCATGTCACTCTTCAACATTAGACTGGTGATATTCACCACTTACGAATGCACCAGCGAGTAATTCAACTGCATTATCATCATGAAGAAATGCCTCGACCTCTTCAAAAGGGCAAAACACACTCCTACGTCAGTCATCTGGACCCCGTAGTTTTTTTTTTTTTTTTTTTTTTTTTTACGAGAAACCACGAACCTCGAGAACAGAATACTGCATGGTAGAGGTGGTTGCAGACGCAACTGTGGTGGTGAAAACTGGAGCATCTCCGCCGACCTGAGGTCTCGGCTTCAGCGACACTTCAGAGCACCAAAAACTGGGGAGGGGTAGGCACAGGGGGAGGGGAGGGGTTGGGGTACATTTATATAGAGGAAGGAAAAACGGAAAGATGATACATGTGATAGAGGAAGAAAATAAAAAATAAAAATAAAAAAATAAATAAAATAATAAAAAATAAAAATAAATAAAAAAGGGGGGGAGCCAGGGTGCAAGCAGAGAGGGTGTTCAGGGAGTGTTCAGAGGGCATCTGTGGCTGAACGCCAGTCTCGGCTGCGGAGCGACTTGTAGGCGCCTTCCTTGAATGCCTGCATTCCCTTCTGCGTGGGAAGGTTGCGTAGCAGGGCAGATGGGAGACGATTCCAGTCTTGGATCGTGGCATGGGGGAATGATCGGAGAGCACTATTACGGGCTCCGGCGGGCAGTGTCGGTGCTAGTTGGTGCTGGTGCTGGTTCTTTTGCTGGTGGCGAGTGGAGCGCCGGTGCTGGTTTGCAACTGCCCTCGGTGGTGTCATGGTGGTCAGGATTGGGGGACCGTCGATCCAATGCAGCTTGTACAGGAATGTGAGTGCTGCGACTTGACGCCGAACAGTGAGGCTTGGGAGGTATGACCCTGGGCCGATGAGCTTTAGGGCTCGGTGCTGTACCCGGTCCAGCTGGTTCAGGGTAGACTGGGACGCACCCAACCATGAAAGCGGGCAGTACTCAAGTACTAGGCGGACGAAGCCGCGATACACTGCATACTTGGCCTTGCTGTCGAGAATGGGCAGGGCCTTCCTCATGAAGCCAAGACGTTGGTGACCACGGACTGCAACCTGTCGAATGTGGGAGCGAAAGGAGAGGCTCCGATCAAAGAGCACTCCGAGCAATTTCAGCTCCTCCACTTCCTCTATGGCCACCCCATTGAAAGTGGCTGGAGGAATCGGCCAGGGTTGACGGTGATGCGAAATTGTCAAGACTTGCGACTTTGTCGGCTCGAATGCGATCTTCCAGCTCTGGCCCCATTCAGCTAAGGCATCCACAGCAGTCTGGAGGTGCGCTAGGCCAACTGGGAGAGCGGTCAGGGATGGGATGCACTGATAAAGCGTGGTGTCATCTGCATATATGGCGAGCTGGGTTGTGGCTGGGAGGTGGTCCTCCATGTCATTGACATATAGGAGGAACAGAGTGGGGCCCAGTATGCTCCCTTGCGGCACACCTGAGTTACGGGCACTTCGGTCTACCGGGCACCCTTTGGGTGAGTTTCAGTGGAGACACTTCTACCCTTTTGTCACTTTTAGTGGATTTATTGACACCACAATTATGCATCTATATCTATGGTCTCTCCCCATCAAAATGTATGTGATTTGGAGTTACGGACAGTTCAACATTACGGGTAGTGTCCGGTCCCAGACCGCCCGGACAAACGAGGTACGAATGTATAAGGCTGATGCAACTGCCGTCACTATTGTAGCAGGGGTCACAGCAATGACTTGCTGACTTGCTGACGGCACGTGCGCCCAGACAAGTGTTAGGTAGGTCATCATCTCCCAAACATTCCCCATACATCCTTTGCCTAGGTATCCTGCACCCCGTATTTCTGTGACACCCTTCGTTACTCTGGCCTGGGTAGCTGCTCGCGCGCCCATATTTGCCATAGCTACCCAGGCAGGCACAGTGGGTGCATTTCATTACGCACTTGAATCGATCCATGAATGGAATCTCGCCGTTCGATTTCATGTCATGAGCCCTGGAAGGGTGACAGTAAGGGACCGCCCAGGCTCGAAGCCCACAGGAGGCAGTGATACGATGCACCGCGCCGTCTCTCTATTTACTACTAGTCCCTTGATCACATAATACAGCATGGACTGTACACTCATACCTCATTTATCCGGGCTCTGAAGTTCAGTCTACGGGCCCCCTTTCAGGTGAGCTAAACTACTCCTTTGGCACTTTTATTGGAAATAGTAAGATCACATTTCATATCTTTATGGCCTCTCCCAATCAAAACGTTGGTGATTCGGTGCTACGGGCAGTGCCCAATCCCGATCGTCCTCTAAAATACACAAGGAGTGTGGTCTGATATAGGCTCCACTCTCTACAGACTTCATTTTCGCATTACAATAATTATAAGCTCTAGCATAACGCACTGTGACTCCTGTCATTTATAATTATGTCTCTTACCAGAGAGTTTGGCTGGGGAGGCGTTGCTGAATCTCCTGTTGCCTTCTTGGTAACCGGCTCGCGTCCAGTCAGAGATCGAGCAATGGGCTTGGCAGTTAAGCTCTCTGTTGGCAGCACTGACCGCTGGACTTGCTGCACAGCATGTCCGCCTGGGTGTTTGCCACCAGCTATTGCTGGGCTCCTGGCCAAGGTAGCTGCCCTGGCACCGGCTATGGACATTTGGCGATGTTTTGGCTTTGGGTCTTGATTTAGGGCCGGTCTGACTGTTTCGTACCTATTCGATTCAAAACTAGATGCTAGTGTGGAGACACTAGCAGACCTGGACGGAGCAGCTTGTCCAGGTTTCGGAGAGGGCTTGGGATCAGCTGGGGCAGATGTCGCCGCCTCAGTGCCATCTGGTTGGTTACCGCCAGCCGCTAGTCGTGCGTGGTCACAGAGCGGTGGTCGTGAAGGAGACACAGGATCAGAAGTCACTACCGGCTGCACTCTGTGACCTGTAGTGGGATCCTTAGTTTCCACTGTTCTTGCTGTGTTGTGGGGAGTGACGGGCTTTGGGCGAGTAGGAGGCTTGGGGGCTCGACTGGTTTTCAAAGGTAGACTTTCAGCCGATTTCCCTTCCTGACCGGCTGAATTCAAGGCCGCTATCATTGCAGAGACGCCGGTGGGCTTGGCGGGAGATGCGTGAGTGGCCTGGGGTTTAACAACAGACTTTGGTTTGGGTGCTATGGCTGGCGGAGACCGAGTTGCTTGGCTAGGTGTTGGTGGTGGGTTCCCGGTGAACCGGGCTGGTTGACGTCGAGTTACTTTATTTGCTGCACCTTCATTGCCTGTGTTAGAGAGGACATAGAGAACAGGAAATAGCCGAATCATTTCACAGCCTCGCAAAATGCCTCCTTGCATGCACACACACCCACACACACACCCACACCCACACCCACACACACACACACACACACACCCACACACACACACACCGTGACAAGCACCTTTGCAAAACTTCAACGCAGGTTGGTGCCATCAATATGCACTGTACAGATATGTAGTAAAGCAACTCAAGGACATGCAGTATTGTCTGTACATGTACAGGCAGGTGTGGAGCTCCTCTACGCCCCGTATATACAATTCTGTGCGTGTCTCTCAGTCACCTGACTGATAAAGTTTCTACTTACCTCCAACAAAGGTATCCACTGACTGCATGTCATCTAGGAACTTTGAAAAGTTTGCTTTAGGTTCGGTGCTACGCACAATAGTACAGAAAGTGTGGAAAGTCTCAGCTGTACCCCTGCTCAGCATATCTAGCAGTCGGTCATTGTGTTTGGCAGAATTCTTTATCGCCATCAATTCCTTCTTCTACGCATCGGAGATCAACCGCTTGGCACAGCATTCGACACGAATTGCATCGCAGCTGAGTGCTGCTTGGAGGTGTGGGATCCACTTGCGGAACATCTGGCTTGACCATGGCCATGAGTTGACCGCGTAGTTCTGCAATAACAACATACAGAGTGCATACACTAGACCTTGGCGGATAATGCTCGAAAAAATGGGTAGATTCTGCCTTGAAAAGCAGTGAAATTGGCAGAATAATACAAAACTTGTGGCAGGCACTTCACCTTGCCTTGAATTCTGCTCCATTTCTTTATCCACATACCAAACATGCATGAAAGCATCCCGATAAAGTACCAAATTCTCTGAAGACAAAAAAATCTGCCAGCAGTATCTGCCAAGGACTAGCATACCATGAGCTGAGAATCACAGAAGCTGCCAGTAAGGTACGACCAGGGAGTCGTAAAATACCGGTATTTTACAACTCCCTGGCTACAACCAGTACTTAGCAGCATACATGGTGCCATGCAAGTTCTGTTTTTTGTTTGTTTTTGTTTTAGCACTGCCAGAGATCTATGCTGTGTTGATCAAGTGTTCATCGGGGGACGAAACAGCCCTGGCTAGCTGCAGATATATTCATATGGGCTTATTGCTTGCGTTTGGCCACTGCCATTTCAGGGGCCTGGTTGGCTGACGTAGGCCACATTGAAGCATTACTGTTCACTGAAGATAATCAAGAATACCAGATGGCCCTTTGCACGTATTGGCACAAGTTTTAACAGTCCAATGATAGCATGGAGCGGGTACATGTGTGTGTGTGTGTGTGTGTGTGTGTATGTGTGTGTGTATGTGTGCAGTGCGAGTGTGCGAGTGTACGTGTGCATGCAAACATGTGTGTATGTGTGTGTGTGCACGTGCGTGTGATTGCGAGTGTATGTGCGCATGCAAACATGTGTGTATGTGTGTGCACACAGTAAGATGTCTTTGAGACAACATTTTCAGAATTTGGCAAAGCAATGACGTGTGGACAATTCATACCTCTGCTGTAGCCATGACTGCGACAACAAAAAAAGTCACGGACGTCAGTCACCATCTGTTGTACATGTACACACAATAAACCACACCAAAATAGACGTGGCACATCATGAGTGATGTAGAAATGGATAACATTCTTCAGAATGTTTTCAGCGGGTGCAGATTCAAAAAAATCACGGTTCGCGTGAGACTCGGCCAAATGCCCGGTTTTCCGTATCCGCAGGAACGCCACTACCCTCTTGGATCAAGGCGCAGATGCAGTTCCTAAGCGGTGGGACGTGAGTAGATCAGACTTCCAAGCAGGACTTGAACCTGGTACCCTCTGTTTCTCAATCATGGTCTTAGACCATCCCACTATGCCTGCCTGCAGATTCCAAAGAAACCCTAAAATTTTATACGTGTTTCACACTTTTGTTTCTGTGGAGGCATGGTTCTAAGAGCGTGCACTGAGCATTGACAAGAGTGCATCACCCCCAAGAGTAGGCAGCTCACGCATACAGTTTTGTCCCAACAGAATTTCAAGTTGACAGCTTTCTTTTGATGCAATGCTCTTCTGGCCAGACTGATATACGGCGTTTGTACAGCTTATCAAACCATCGAACATTTTTCCTTGTGCTATTTTGTACCAGCTAAGGTCCAGGATATGTCTGATAATCCGCGCACATTGCATCATATTATGACGTCAACTTGAGGAAATTGGCTGCTCTCAACGTCGAGAACGCGCGTCCAGAGTACGAGAAGCATGTCGAGCCCTCCGCTCAGCAAATTTACAAGGAAGCTTCACTCCATTTGCATTGCAACGTGTATCGGGGAGTCCAAACCAGGAGCTCTGGCCCTCCCGGATGGGTTATTCGACCATGCACGGTGAAATAGAAATGCGGAGCTGCTTTTGATTCGCGGGTCGCATTTCTTTGACCGCGACTGTACTGGTACATATACTTCGAAGTAACAGTCCATATATTCCACGCATGCCATGCATAGAAACACTCTGACCAGTAGTCAACGTTCCTCTGTAGACGGAGTTCTTGTAAGACTTTTAATATGATGTACTGTCGTGGACATGGAAAGGGGAGTGAGCCAGCCTTTCGGCCCCCGGGAACTGCAGCTGGCTCGACTCGCCTCTACTGAGTGCGTTCGATTATGCACGCGAATCGATTCATGAATCGATTCGCGAATCGATTCGCGCTATTCACATCACCCCATGTGAATAGAGTGAATGGATTCCGAATCGATTCCAATGCTCATGACATGAAATCGAACGACTTGAATGCGCTTGAATCGATTCATGAATCGATTCAAGTGTGTAATCGAACGCACTCACCGAGTGAAGAGAACCCACACCTATTCACCGTACTTTACTCCCAATCGCAGTACACAAGCAAAATAGTCATTGAGTTGTTGAGACGCTCAAAGGAGTATGAGCCATGCATACCCGTTACCGGTGCTCTGCGGCCAGTTCAGGAAACGAGAACGAACAACAATCCCCAAGAACCGAACAACACTGGCCAACCACTTACCCAGAATCACTGGAACACCATGACAAACGGGGACGATGAACGTCCAGTGGCGAGCGCTCCTGCAGCCAGGAGTCACGGTTTGCTTGAATCCTGGACACGACTTTGAACGTCGTGGGCGGATAGGCTGTACCGGTTCTCTACGTCGTGACGGTATGGAGCAGTCGAATGGAGCCTCCGAGCCACAAGGAAACTTCGATGAAACCCTTTGGCCAACAAACAGATTCTTACACAGCCTGCACCCAAACAAACTTTGACACGAAGCAGCAGACGGCTAAACTAACTGTAACACCACCTCGCTGCCTACAACAACTCGTCTACAGGCTGCCTGTACTGGCGGTAGCATGAAAAACTGAAGAAACTACAGCTAGCGCTGCAGTGAAAATATTTCACCACGAAGCTCCAGTGTGGAAATGGTGCCCGTTTCGCCGAGGTGAGCTAGCTACCGCGTAGATCTACCGCAGCAGCAACAGCAGTGCGTGAGGGTGGCCCTGGCCGGGTCCGGGTACGGGTGGGTAGATCTACGCGGGTCCGTGTTACGTTTTGTGGATGACATGCCTGTATCGGTCATACAACCTCTGTCCGCAGAACTGGCCTGGATGTCCAGACAGTCATGTTGGGGTTGGGGGCCAGTTTGGAGTTCGCAAAACGAACGGACTGAACAGCATACCATACACTAGTCAGAACAACAGATGGCTTGGTCAGTCACTGATCAAGCCATCTGTTGTTCTGACTAGTGACAGTACTGAGTAGTGTGTCACCATGGTCACGGACTAGCTCTCTTGGATTTCTGCCACACAACAGTGTACATACATTATACATACATGTCCAATGACAAGGAAGCGAATGAGGTCCAAGTAACCCAGGTACGTATGGAAAACTTGGAAAGGTGACACAGATTAAAAGAAAATATGGGAAAAATTATGTCATTGGTGTAGTGCGCCGAGCCGCCGACCCGGCATGGCCCTGGCGGCTGCTACAGCACCGAAACGACGAGCGGCGACCGTGCCGCGTGACGGCACCACGGTCCAAGAACATGAAACGAGGAATAGTCTGGAACGAGGAAGTCGAAGACGGTAAGAGACCTCGGCTTGCACAAATCATTCCTCCCCGTCCCCCATTGAAGTAATTCACTTGCATGCGATTGAGGAGGATACCGTTCTTGCATGGCAGGAAAGGAGATTGAAGGAGGTCACGAAGACGAAATGTATCTAACGTTGGGTGGTGCACCCAGTGCCCGCAGTGTCGCCAGTGCGCGGTCCTGGGAAACAGTTGCTCAGCTGCACCCATGGTTTCCTACAATACAGACAGTACAATAGTCCATTCAGAAAAAATATGATTTCTTAGCTTTTGGCCATAAATGGGTCAAATTTTGAGTTTTGTCACAAGTTATTTGACAAACCCCATGGAATGCGCTTCCAATTGTGTTTTTGAAGTCTATTTCTCCGAAGAGCAAGCCATAACGAGAATAGGAGTTCAGCCTGGTTTTGCCCCCAAAGCACTGAATAGGGGAAAAACCATGAAAATCCAGGCCGTTCACTGCACTTGCATAACAGTACATTCGCGGTTCGAACCACAGTTGAGGCACCTTTTTGAACCCCTTTTCAAGTTTCGAATCTCGCGGCACTGCACGGTGTACCACAAAATCACGAAAATCACCAAACATGGGAGCTCTCCAAAGCCAGCGCTCGTCTTTTTCTGAATGGACTGTAGACCGTGCAGTACATCTAATATTTATTTATTTATTTATTTATTCAACATCTCCTGGCCCGTCCGAAGACTGCCAATAAACATGAGAGGTCAGGTGATAGCCAACCACGGCAAGCTAAAAAGGGAAAAAAAGAAAGATGCTGTCAGAGAGGGAAAGGAGATAGGGAGAGAAAAAGAAAGGGAGGCACATTAATAATACATGGGATCACTTCGGATGAGACAGTGTGGAAAGCTGGACTGTGAATTTCCTGATATCCGGGCATGTCTTAATGCTAGTAGGCAGGTTAGACCAAAGGGAGTATGCTGAGAAGAAAGGGGGTTTCAAAAACAGAGAGGAACTAGCTCGGGGCAGTGATAAGGCCTTGCGTGTTGGTCTAGTGGTAACAAACCAGTTGTACTTGGCAATATGTTTCGGGACTTGGGCTAGGAAGATTTTTTGCACAAGGATACAAAGATGCTGCTGATGTCGGGCAAGAAGAGGGTGCGTGGAAGCAAGTTTATAAAGACAAAGGGAGGCAAATGTTTGGTCTTTTCGAAACAGAATTTTCAGAAGCAAGCGTTGATGTACCTCCAGTCTGTGGAGTAAAGTCTGAGACAACCCGCACCAAGCTATATCGCAATAGTCAAATATAGGCAAAATGTACGACTTAAAGAACAATTCTCTGCAGTTATCATTCAAGTGTTGGCAGTGGGGTTGTAGCATACCTAAGGACGCACTCGCACGCTTGCACACAGACTGGACTTGTGGAGACCAGGAGAGTTGGCGGTCGAGAATAACGCCCAGGTGCTTGTGCTCGTTAACAACTTTAATAGGTGTACTATTTAGACCAGGAAAATACAGAAGTTGAGTGGGGGGCGAGGGAGAGAAGAACATGGCCTCGGTTTTGGCGAGGTTAGGCTTCAGTTTCCAGGTTTCCATCCATGTTACTGTAGCGTTGACCCCGGACTGCATGGAGGCCGTGAGGTTGTCTGCCGAGCTGTCGGAGCACATCAGAGCAGTGTCGTCAGCAAAAAGACTTACATTTGGTACAAGGGCTGGCAAGTCATTAACGTACAGTAGAAATAGGAGCGGCCCAAGTATGGACCCCTGGGGTACCCCAGACACGACTAGTAATGGGTCTGATAGGGAGGTAGATACTCTGACAGTCTGGTGGCGGCAGGAAAGATAGGATGAGAGCCATTGCAGGGCTGGACCGTGTACCAAGAAGACGGACTCTAGCTTTGCAAGCAGACCACGATGCCAGACGGTGTCGAAAGCTTTCGCTAGGTCAAAGAACACGATGCCAACATGCCGCCTGAGGTTCCGCTGGGTGTAGATGTCTTGTACTAGACGTGTTAGTTGGAAAGTTGTGGAGTCTCCACGGCAGAAACCGGATTGAGATGGTGAAAGCGCTGGGGTGACGTGGCAGTACAGAGACTCAAAGAAAATACGTTCACAGACCTTGGACACAGCGGGAAGGAGAGAGATTGGTCTGTAGTTGCCAGCCTGAGAGCGTTGGCCTTTCTTATAGATCGGGACGATAACAGCAGATTTCCAGACGGACGGAAATACTCCTGTACGATATGACATGTTAAAGAGCAGGCACAAGGGATAGGACAGAGATGGCGCAAGCCATTTGAGAACCTCATTGGGTATGCCATCTTCGCCAGGGGACTTACAATTCTTCAGGAGTTTGAGGTGCTTACAGACGGTAGCAGTCGTGGTAACGACGCGTGTGAGTGGTGCGCTAAGTTCAGGGGCTGGGAACAGCGATGGAATGACCCAATTCGGATCTTCCGGAATGCCGGATGAAACAAACTGCTTGTTCAGTGTGTCTGCAATCGCCTTCACAGCGTGCTGGCGGTTGCATATCGAGAGAGTGGGCGAGACTAAAACATAATTAGGATTGGGGAACTGCATGCACTGGTGCCAGAGAAACTCCAGCACATCCGCAAAGGAACTGGAATTATACTTCAATACCGGGAAGAATGCCGGGACCTGCTCTACTTCATCGTCGACTCTCACAGCAGATTATGTTGGAAATTCTCCCAGTACACTAGCATCCATCTTCACGAGAAATGAGAAACCAGAAACAAAACAAAAGGTTTGAGCGCGGGTCATACTGTGTCAAATATATTTATTCCCGTAGCTATGCAGAAGACGTTACTTCAGTAACGTCTGGCGCTAGCCAGGGTCCACACAGCTTTAATTTGGTGTTTGTTTGTTTGTGTCACGCCTGGAGCTATCCCGTATCTGTCCCGTATCTGTCCCGTATCTGTGACTACAAAGGCTCTACAGGATTGTACATAACAGCTGTCCACAATCTTTGCGGGCCCCTGTATCTGTCCCGTACAGTTACAATATTCGTCGTATTATGTATACGACTCCCTGATGTAGAGGGAAATTTGGAAAGAAAAAGGGAGACGAGGAGGAAATTAAATTAGAATAGACGCCGAATAGGTGATAGGATGCGTCAGCATAAACATACTTTGGAAGAGAGATCCCGTCGTCTCCAAAATAGGCGTGAACGAGCGATTCAGCGCCGGTCACAGGAAACGTCGGAAGAGAGATCCCGTCGACTCCAGAACCCCTGTGATCGGCAGAGTTCGCCGGTCCCAGGCAACGTCAGGACAGACATCCCGTTGAGTCCAGAATGCCCGTGATCGGCAGAGTCTAAGCCGGTCCCAGGAAACGTCAGGACAAACATCCCGTCGAGTCCAGAACGCCCGTGATCGGCAGAGTCTAAGCCGGTCCCAGTGAACGTCAGGACAGACATCCCGTCGACGCCCAGAAAAACTAAAACTGCAGCCTCTTTTGCCGTCGGACAGGATACGTATTATAGGAGACTGTAAAGTTATCATACGGTAATGTCCAAATTTCCACGTGAGCAGCAGGTCACTCGCGTTGATTTTTCGACGTGCGAGCCAAATAACGCGAGCTGAACTTTCGCGTCGCAGACATCCGGTCGACGCGCAGAAAAACTAAATCTGCAGACTCTTTTGCCGTCGGACAGGATACGTATTTTAGGAGACTGCTAATTTATGTAATGTGCTCCACAGGCAACCATGCATTAGGCGTCGTCATTGGCTCAACAGGTCAATGTACATGTATTACTTCAAAAAGGCCAGAAAATCCGATTACTGTATTAAAATCAACTAATTTTCGCTGGCGATTTAATTTCGCTGATTTCGCCGCTTGGTACCAACCGGCCAAAGTAAATCGCAGGCCAAAGTTTGTCATAGGCAAATGATGCATGATTGAGCAATGGATGCATGTGAGAGCAAAAAATACCGATCGATTTCAAATTTGACGTGAAATTGCGCGTCACGTCGGAAATAACGTGCATCTTAACCTCTTTAATAGAGAGGTTTCTATATCTCATCGGCCAAAATTTGTTGATTTACAGTATAAGGAGATAAAAAGAAAAGAAGAAGCAAACCAAAAGTAGATGATTATTAGAGAAATAACAATCCGCAATAAATTCTGCAAATACTTTTGCCTCAGTTCTTATAACATGTACGATGAGCTAGGCAAAAAAGCATAAAAGCATAGCGTAGGGCCCTGAGCTTCCAAGCTCTCTCGTTGCAACATCTCAAGATGCAGTGGAAACTGCGGCCAATGTGAAGAAAGTGGGTGATAGGCAGCCATGGCGATAAACATAAGTAAGGGTGTGAGGAGGGGAAACGAAAGATCTAGGAATCGGTATTTCGGCCCTGAAACGCCCTTTGGCACGATTGGACCTGATCTGGATTGTTCAGCGCATTCAGGAACCCATTCAAGAATAGGCCCAAGAGTCGATGCGAGAATAGACCGGGGACTTGAACCCTGTACCCTCCGTTTATCAATTATGATCTTAGACCACCCCACTATGCCTGTCAACCCATAGAATTATCTACAATGTACACGATGTTTTGTGACCTGTCCATTTTCCCTGTAGCATTCCGGTTTCAGCTGGCTGGCTTTCGCGATGCCACCGAGTATGAGCATTTTCACGGTGGAGATCTGGTAAGAGGTTTCGCTGATGTGGTGCTTTGAACTTCACATATAGTCAACAACAACAGCAACAACAACAACAACAACATTTATCTCTTATTGGCGATGGTGCCATCGTGAGAATAAATAATTCAAACAACAACAACAACAACAACAACAACAACAACAACAACAACAACAACAACAACAACAACAACAACAGCAATTGGCGATGGTGCCATCGTGATAATAAAGAATTCAAACAAACAATATCTCTTACTGGCCATTGGCCATCGCGAGAATAGAGATTTGAAAAACAACAACATACGTAAGCAAGTCCGTTGCTCCCCACAACGAAGCTCGTACTTTCTGCCAACTTTACTTGACACTTGACCCCACGTCCAAGTCAAGTCAGCCGAAAAGCGAGCGCTCCAGTGTGGGGAGCAGCCAACTTTCCTATAAAAATCAATACAGGTCTACTCTCCATACAACGTAAACTCTGGGACCACGCAAAATTTATGTTATATCGAGAGTTATATTATGTGGAAAACCGTGTGCTAAATACAAGATGTACCTCAAAAATGAAGGGTATTGCAAGGCGGGTTTAACCATGCAAACATGTACACACTGTACCACCATCGACATCAGATACCATCAATGCCGCAGAATATATGCACAATAGGACTAAACTGGCTAGCTACGGCTACAGCTTGATTGTACCGCACACGTCAATCTACGTTGTATCGAGTTTGCGCACGTCGGGGACCGCGCCGTAGGGTGAGTTATGCCGAGGTTTACGTTATGCAGGACTAAACTGGCCTAAACTGCCTAGCTACAGCTACCACTTGATCGTACCATGCACTTTTTTATGTTGTATCGAGAGTGCGCAGGTCGGGGACCGCGCCGTAGCGTGTGTTATGTCGTGGTTTATGTTATGTAGGATTACGTTGTGTAGAACAAAATTTGTATGGGAGTGATGCTGTCTCGGCGCGGAATTTAATTTGTTTACGTACTTGCGAGGTTTATGTACAAGTGAGAGTTGTTATATCGAGAGCAGACCTGTACAATAAAATAATCACCGAAGTCGCCACCACATCATGTTTACATAAAGTATTTTGTGGAGTATAAACCTCACCCGGATTTTTTGTTACGATGTACACACATCTACCATGGTTATCAATATCAATTTGAAATGATGTGAGAGCATGCATGGTATTCGTTGCTCTAACTTCTGTCTGCACCCGCCGGCTACCATGGCTCATTGATGGTCTCCCGACATGTAATACATTCCCTTTGACATTGTGTCACCGCCAGATCCTTTTACTTCTGGTGTCCGTTTCATGTTCATCTATTGCTCGCTTGCGCGCTGGCATGCAACTCGCGTGCTCTCATGCGTACAGTGCGTACAACGAAGAACTACGTCAGTTCCAGTTAGTTTTTTAGAGTTGGCCGTGGAACAAACTTGTGTTTTTCGCTCTCCCACATTCTCTGCTTCTTCTCCAATTCTCCAACCCCGTCTGTACCGGTATCAACTTGATCGTGTGGCAAGGAGAGTTGTTAGCCATGACGCGCATGGGGTTCGGCCTCAACGTCGCGCCGAAGATCCTCGACATGGTCGTGAAGTGGGTGACCAAAGACCTCGACGGAATGGACAACTATGTCGACGACTTGCGTGTGCCGGACTCCCAAGTGGCGGCCACGATCCAGCAGCTCGAGCGCTACGGCCTGAAGTGCAAGCCTGCCGAGAAGCTCCCTACTGCTCGGGTGCTGGGCCTCCAGCTCTCGACTCAAGACGGCACGATCAACTGGCAACGTCGCCGTGACGTCTGCCTGCAGCTACCGGAGGCGCCCACCAAGCGCGCCGTGTTCAGCTGGTGTGGCAAGCTCGTCAGCCATTACCCCGTCTGTGCGTGGCTGCGACCGACGACGAATTGGCTGAAGCGGATGATCGGCGAATCCGTCGGCTGGGATGTCGCCGTGCCACCTCGTCTGCTGCAGCTCTGCCGCGACCTCCAGACCCAAGTCAACGAGCACGATCCGGTGCCTGGCGTATGGTCGGTGCAGCATGACGACGCAACGGAGTGGCACGTGTGGTGCGATGCGTCGGGAATCGCGCTGGGTGTCGAGATGCAAGTCAACGGCGAGGTCATCGAGGACCACAGCTGACTGCGCCCGGCTGACGACAAACGGCATATCAACATCGCTGAGTTGGACGCCGTCATCAAGGGCCTCAACGCGGCTGCCAATTGGCCTGCGTGGAAGATCCGCCTCCACACGGATTCCAAGACCGTGCATGGCTGGCTTCGTCAGATCCTCGGGAACGAGCGCCGCGTGAAGGTTGGCGGGCTCCACGAGCTGCTCGTCAAGCGTCGGTTGCAGATCATTGACGACATCGTCGCCACAGCTTGCCTTGACGTGGAGGTGGACTGTGTTCTGTCAGAACAGAACCTCTCCGACCAGCTCACGCGCGTTCCGACGTCCTGGCTGGCCTGCACATCGGATAACAGCGCGACGGATGTTGCTGCCAGCCTCGCCATCATGCCGAGTCTGTCGATGGCCGAGATCCTAGCCGGGCAGGAGGACGATGGTGCACTCCAGGCAGTGAAGGCCGTAGTGATCGCTGGGGACGACCTCCCGCCTGACAGCGGCTTCCGGAACATCCGCGGTCAGCTGCAAGTTCAAGACGGCGTCTTACAGCGCAGCGTCAAGCTTCCGCCGAACGACGTCAAGTGCGTTCCTGTGCTTCCTGCTGCGCTGGAGGAGCGGGCCGTGCGTGCAGCCCACCAGGTGTCTGGCCATAGTGGCTGGGAGGCGACGTGGCAGTTGCTTCGATCCCAGTGCCATTTCTTGGGCATGGGACAGAGCTGCCAAGCGTTTGTGTCCGGATGCAGCAGCTGTCAAGCCGCCAACCCACGCCGCGGAGAGGCGACCGAGCCCACTCCTCCGGTATCTGCCAACGGCCCCTGGGATGTGGTGCACATTGATACCCTCGAGCTCGGCGTTAACCGGTCCGGGCGTTACCACTGCGTGTTGGTATGCGTGGATGCATTGACCAAGTGGGTCGAGGTGGTTCCCCTCAAGCGTCATGACGGCATCTGTGTGGCTAGAGCTTTCGTCGACGTGTGCTCTCGGTGGGGTCCTCCTCGCGTGGTTCGATCCGACAACGGCACAGAGTTCAAGAACGCTGTCATGTCTTCCGTCTACGAGGCGTTCGGCGTTCATTTCTGCTACGGCGCAGCACGTCATCCCCGGTCGCAAGGCGTGGCCGAGAGGTTCAACCAAACCCTGTTGACCCTCGTGCGGAAGGTTCTGGATGAGGCGCACGACTGGGAACAGGAGCTGGCGATGCTCCTGTACTACTATCGGATCCGGCCACACAGCGCCACCAACGTCTCCCCGATGGAGGCCATGGTTGGTTGGCATCCCCGTGGCTTGGTCGTGGATCGGCCTCAGCACTCGTATTCGGCTGGCTCATGGGTAGACGACCTCCAGCAGCGGGCAGCGGCGAGCGAGACTACATCGAGTCTGCGCTCGGCCGCTTCGACTTCATCGACGAGCCGACACCGAGCCGCTTGACTGTTGGCGATGCGGTCATGCTTCGCCGGCCTCAGTGCTGCCAGAAGGGCCTAACCCCGTACGAGCCTGGTTGGCAAGTTATGTCGATCGTGGGCCCCTCGACGGTGGTGGTTCATCGAGTCGACGGCACCGGCCGTGACAAGATCGTGAATGTCGACTTGTTAAGGCGTGCTGCCGAGGACGATCTGCCGCCGCCGCCCGTTGCTCCGGGTGCCAGCGATGAAGCCGAGTCGGGCCCTGTTCCGTCTCTGGTATTGAGCGTTGACCCGGTCACGCCGCCGCCGCCTGATGCAGGCCCATCATTGCGCGCCCGGTCTACGCTCGTGCGACCTGCTCGATATTCATGATTATGTTGTAGCTATTCGGTAGTGACATGAGTCACTAAGGGGTGATGTGAGAGCATGCATGGTATTCGTTGCTCTAACTTCTGTCTTACATTCCTTGTTGCACCCGCCGGCTACCATGGCTCATTGATGGTCTCCCGACATGTAATACATTCCCTTTGACTTTGTGTCACCGCCAGATCCTTTTACTTCTGGTGTCCGTTTCATGTTCATCTATTGCTCGCTTGCGCGCTGGCATGCAACTCGCGTGCTCTCATGCGTACAGTGCGTACAACGAAGAACTACGTCAGTTCCAGTTAGTTTTTTAGAGTTGGCCGTGGAACAAACTTGTGTTTTTCGCTCTCCCACATTCTCTGCTTCTTCTCCAATAATTATATGAACACTGTTCGCCAAAGAACTCGTTGTGGACGTTGTTGCGAGTGCGTGTCCGGGAGTGAGTTGGGGCGGTCGTGATTATCTAACAACCCTGATTATATCCACAAAGAACAATATAGGGCTTGAATGTGCTACTTTGAAGTACATGGCAACCAGGCTGGTGTCATGAGAACACTGACTTATGGATCCACTCAGTCGGATCTAGTTTTGGCTCATGGCCCGGAAAAAAGTCACACTTGCATGCAAAGGGGGTCTACCGTATTTTCAGGAGTATAAGCCGCACTTGTGGTATGAGCTGCATCCAGATTGTTGTTACGAAATACTGACCTCTATCCTGCTCATGACGGTGAATTTGACCATCGTGGCATAAGCCACACCGACTGGTTGTGGTTACAAGTACATTACTGCTGTTAAATAAATACCCTACCCACCAATACACTGTACATAACATTGTACTTCGTTATGGTCTCGCAGTGGATCTGACTTTGAACCAGAAGTCGTTATTTGCTGACTCCCGCCTGATAATAATTATCACGTTCGAGCCATATTTGACATGGCAGATGACATGTTGATTGCACTATAATCTGAAGGAATTTATGCCTTGTAGCTAATGATACTTTTTCTCATGGAGTGCTGACCACCAATTTGTGGAGATTGTGGACTGGAAGGTTGATGGCAGCCTAGTAATTTAAGTAAAACTTCTGTCGGGCATCTAAGTGTGAGGTTTTGTACCGTTACGCTGTTTGAATGCACCGTGCAGTCGAACACAAACTAGTCCCTATGGCACCATTATTAAAAGTTGTTTTTCTCCTTGTCTCTCTCTCTCTCTCTCTCTCTTCTCTCTCTCTCTCTCTCTCTCTCTCTCTCTCTTCCTCTCTCTCTCTCTCTCTCTCTCTCTCTCTCTCTCTCTCTCTCTCTCTCTCTCTCTCTCTCTCTCTCTCTCCTCTCTCTCTCTCTCTCTCTCTCTCTCTCTCTCCTCTCTCTCTCTCTCTCTCTCTCTCTCTCTCTCTCTCTCTCTCTCTCTCTCTCTCTCTCTTTTCTCTCTTCTCTCTCTCTCTCTCTCTCTCTCTCTCTCTCTCTCTCTCTCTCTCTCTCTCCTCTCTCTCTCTCTCTCTCTCTCGGCGTGTTCCTCTTAGCCGGATCGCTGGCCCAACGGCTTGGTGAAAGTCCTGAAGCTGAAGAGCGGCTACTTCTACTGCTATCACCGCAATCGTGAGTGTGCCCACAAGGACATCCACTGCACCAAGATCTACAGCTACTAGGTACACGATGTACACATGAGCTGCTTGTGATCAGCCATGCATGACTTCTGCACATTGTCAACTGTGACCATGAAGGTAACAGGTGAGAGTAGTCTTCCGCTCCAGCACTCTCCGTTTATAAAACGAAGTTCACTTTCGAACATTTCCAGTACGTCCAGCATGGCCGTCTCAATTGCAAGCCCCTTCAGTGTATGCAGGTCGACTGGAGTAGGGATTATGAAACATGTGAAGAGCAGAACTGATGCCAGACGGACGTGTGCTCAGATAGAGAGGCCTCACCTCACATGAATGTCCTCATCGGTTACTCCATGTTTCATTGTATACACTGGTAGCGTCATGCTATTCTCGAGTACAGTGCTTTTCTTGTAGCTCTACAGTAGCCACCATGTGTATGATATTCTTGCTCCTACTTTAGCTAGCATGTACTCGAAGTATGTGATATTCTCGCATGCAGTTACTTGCATATAAATGTAGGTCTAATGCAGCTAGCACTTTCAGTGTATAACGCTCAGCATATAGCAACGGACATCGACTTTTAAATTCTTGCACTAACCCCCCCCCCCCCCACACACACACACACCACCACCACCACCACCACCACCAGGGGGACTGCCAATACATCATATAGCTGCTGCGGTTGTTTCCTTCCATCTCTGCAGTTGTGATTGCTTTCGTGTGAAGGCACTGCTTGTTGATCAAGTCTTGAGACTTTCTACTTTGTTTAATGTGCTGGTTTGACAAATCTTCCACTCTACGTCTTTGGCTTTCATCTATTGTGGTGACAGTACTCATCTGTTTCACTTGATAACGCCGCACTTTTTTCTTTTTGTTACATGTACGCAAACCCTTTCTGTATGCAATTGTAAGGTGATTTCTCTCTCTTTTCTCTCTCTATCTCTCTCTCTCTCTCTCTCTCTCTCTCTCTCTCTCTCTCTCTCTCTCTCTCTCTCTCTCTCTCTCTCGCTCTCTCTCTCTCTCTCTCTCTCTCTCTCTCTCTCTCTCTCTCTCTCTCTCTCTCTCTCTCTCTCTCTCGCTCTCACGCACACACTCTCTCTCTCGCGCGCACACACTCTCTCTCGCTCTCGTGCACGCACTCTCTCTATCTGGACCGACCGACCGACGTAACATAATTCTCAAAGTGACCCTATACTCCTGGCTGGACCAGTGCAAAGTTACCATTATGCGTACATGTACGGTACACATCTGCACGCACACACAGAGCCAATTAG